TGGGTTTTCAGGCCAGACACTCCATTGAAATGAAAAATTAAATGGCTCAAGTGCTTGGTTAAGTGCACCCAGCAGTTAAATTAAATTCAAATCTAAACAAGGACTAATAAAAAGAAAGCCAAAAAGGGTGCATTTCAGTCTTAACTGATGTTGTAAACAAAGTTTGGCTTGCTTTGGGATTACCTTTAAGCACGATTCTCTTTACCAGATTACATACACCGCACACAGACGACAGGCACTTCCTTCCACTCGAGTTGGAGGCCCCAGCGGTGCCTCCTATTCAGCACACAATCTAAACTCAAATCAAAGTTTTTCGCAACAATAAGTCTAGTGCTAGCTGTGTTTTACATACACAGGGTACCTTCGATATAAGAAACTTTTTGGGGATTAATATTTATAAAGTATATTTTGAGAACACATCTTAAAAACTTTCTTCCTTTTCTTTTGATAAAAATCCCTACTTTGTAATCAGAAATTACTTCTTAAGTCATTATAAAAGGTGTCTAAAAGTAGGCAACAATATATTTTCATTGCATACTTTTAGACACTTTTGTATGAGAAAAATGTTATACTTTCTAAGACACAAGATCCCCAGCAGAGGGATTATAAAAAATGTTGTACAATGTACATTTTCTTCGATTTTTTTACCATTTTTAGTTGAGTTAATAGGACTTACACTGTATTATTGTTCTTCTTCTGTTTCGGGAACTCCCATTCCCAATCACCTTCTGACACACTGTTGTTTCGCATTTCGAAACTTTGCACTTCAATTTGTGAACATGCATGCAAATAACGAGCGCACGTCAGAAGGTAGGTGTTCCTCCACTGGAACCCAAACTTCAAGGTTTACACTTGAAAAACATGGAGTTTACATAAACTTTGACTGCATCAGGTGCTGGTTTTTTGGGGAAGCACTGAAAGAAGGAAGTTATATTATTATATGGTTCAAAATAGTCTATTAATTCTCTAGCTCTCCAGTCATGTCTTAAGATTACTTAATTTATTCATTAAAGATTATTAATTCTTTTTGTAATATATGAAATATTTTGTTCAGTGCAGTCCCATTTGTCGACGGCTCAGGCTGAAGCCAATTCGCATTGATTCGGCGGCCTGGCACATGGTCCTTGGGATGTTGATTAGATGCTTAGCTGGCGGGGTCCTTGATAAATGGCGGCAGTTTAAAGTCGAGTGCGTCTGGCACTTGGATGATTTAAGAGTTCAAAGTTCAGATGCCATTGGATTGGGATCGGAACCGACGTCCAGCGGAGCAACAAGTGAATCTGCTCTCGGGCCGGATGACAATTCCACGCAGAGCCAGACGCATAATTAACTTTGATTCGGGAAGCGAATCGGACAGCAATCTGAGTGTACACACTCAGAAAACAAAATAATCTACAAGGGAGTGCTCCACACGTATCTGGAGTTTTAAAATCTTTTGAGAAGGAGCCTAAAAGCATGCTGTAATTAATTATAAGTCTTTTCATTGCATACTTTTGGACACCCTTCTACAAAATATTACAAATTTTATTATTGTATATAAAATGAAATGGTTTCTTAGGCATTTGGAATTTATAAATTTTAGTTATTAAAAAATAAGCGTACATTTTGTTTTAGAATATGTTTTATTTTTAAGTGTTGTTACCTGCCAACTTCTGACTTTCGTTTTGAGGGACTTGTGCGTGCAGGGAGATGATGAGAAATGGACTACCTAGATTGCGATACCTTCATATTTCATAGGATCCCGCGCACACATGCCAGCTTGAAAAAAAGTTGGGGCCCAATCTGCTCCAGCTTTTCCCATTTCGCCGTTGATTTGCTGCTCTTTCATGGGTTTTTTCGGGGGTTCTTCTTCTTTACGAGCAGCTGTCTAATGTGGCTGAAGCGAGGGAAAACAAAGAACAGCAGCTCAGCTCTCTGTGCTTTATGGAGATTTAACTTGGCCTAATGAAGCAGTGTCAGAAAAAAGCGGGTTCCACCGCGCGTCGCATATTTTAATAAAGTTTTTGGCTTTATGAAACTTATGTTTGCATTTTGTTGGCCATAAATTTTGAGTGGGCGGTGAGTTTGCCAAGTGACACCTGAGCCCAATGAAATTTTATGCCCCGACCTTGGGTTGTTGAGGGTGGTCTCCCATCCTCAGGATCCGCATTTCGCAACTGAAAGTATGCAAAGCATTTCGCGAATTCTTTCAAATTTTCCACGGACTTGTGGCTGGCTTATATTTTGTTTGTTTTGTGCTGCAGAGCAAAGGGTAATTGGAAAAATGTGGCTGCGTAAGTGGGAATTAAAACAGCCAAATGTTTCACATAGCCGGGTCAAAATCCAATTTGAAAGCCTCCTGTGTGCTGACCATTTCGCTGGCCATCGCGGCATTCGCTAATTGCCGGGGAGCACTCTTGCATAAACTGGCCAAAAACCGCAGATGCGGCGGGAAGCGACGGTGGGCGGGTATATTAGGATGTATATTTTATGGGGCATTGACACAGGCTATGGGAAGCAGGAACGCTCGGAATTTCATTGAAATTTCATTAGGTGCGCGGAGAGAAAAATAACTATGTCAGCTATGGAAAAAATGCTTTAAAAAAGGTAATTTTATTATATTATTTTAAACATTTCACAAAAAAGATTTAGTTTTTATGGTGAAAGGGGTTAGTTTTTTAAATATAAGGCAGTAAAAACCATAATTAAGGCCGCTAAAAAAATCAATATATTTTATAATCATTTATAAAGGTGTCGAAAAGTATGCAATAATATATTTTGATTCAAAAAATCAACTGCTCCATAAAATACCAATTTTAAAAGAAAGCGGTTGTTTTCCACTGTCTACTTTTAGGCTTCTGTAAATGTAATTTTAACCTTTTTTTTATAAAAAATATTTGATAAATGTATTATCAAATTTCCCTTTTAAATCTTAATAAACTTTATTATTTTAAGTTATTTAACATTCAAAGATTGTCTTAGTACTTTGTAATTAATCATTTTTGTTTAATACATCTAATATTTTTTTTCTTAACAATTTTAAATGAATGTAACTTTACGGTTTGTATTTTACTCTTTGCTGTTTGCATCCTTTCATTTTTGAACAGATCGTAATGCATTTGAAATATTTTCCGATGGTATACAGCTTTTAATTTCTTTACCTAAGTGTACAAACTGATTTTAGAATCCGGTTTAGAGTTTCGTTCTCCGAACTGGACTCCACCTAATGTAGCCTCTCTGGGGCTCGGCGGTTTTTCCAATTTATCCATCACACTCACAACGACACCAAATGACATGCACTTAAAAACAGCAGGATATACGCAACAAGATATCCCGGGGAAAACAGAAAATTAAATTTTCAGCGGCCGTGCAGCCTTGACAGCCGTGGTCATCAATCAAACCACTTGTCACATGCTGTCTGCAGGCTGGTATTTAGGTATTTAGCCAAATATACATTTTGCCAGCATAATGTTGACAAACAAATTATCATTTTGCTAGACGTCGAAGGACGACCAGGACGAGGATGAGCTGCAGGACGAGACGGGCTTAGCGCTGATTAAATAGGGTCATCAGCAGGGCAAGGCTCTGGTAACGAGCGTTCCTCGCAGATAGTTAATGATGCCCAGCTGCTCGGGATATTGGGCATTGCAAACTGCGTACACGGTGGCCAAGTCCCATCCCCACCTCCCCCACTCCCCAAAAAAAGTCCATCATAATCATTATGGATGTGTTCAATGGACTGCATGAATGGAGGAGATTAAACAAATTCGGGTCAGTTTTACATTCCTACACAAAAAATTAAACGGGAATTGTCCACCTAAATAAAAAAGATTTTGTTGTAAAATAGGTCACCTTTTATTAAAGTAATAGTAAAGTAAATACTAAGAGAAACTATTTCTATTTTAAATTTAAAAATATTGTTAAGTCCTAGGAAATATATACGGTCAGTTATATCATCGACAACCAACAAAGCGTCGAGAAACATACTTGACCGATGCACTTTTCTTGCAGCCAGATTGAGTGATTGATTGGACATTGATGCATTTGCGGCGAATGAAGTTGTGGCATTCCAATCTTCGCCAGCAAATTAAGATGTCAAAATCTGGTGCCGGGAATCTCAGAGAACCTCAGATTCATTGCTGTTGCTTACTTAAGGCATATTTGGCCGGATCAGCCACCAACACCTGCGGCTGCCTGGTGTGAAAGAGCCAAGTCATTTGGCCCAAAACCAACAAACAGACGCATTCCACTGAGAACAATTGCATGATTATTTTAAAATTATTTTAGTATTTAAATAAATAAAACTAATATGGTTATAAGTTGGCCAAAGTGGAATCTTCAGAATTACACATTATAATATAAAGTTTAACAACATAAATAAATAATTTAACTAGTGTTTTTTATAATATTGAGTAAGTATGTAATATTATAACAAGTGAGTAAGTATATAGGAATTTCTTTCAGTGTAATTTTAAGAAAATCCCCTGATTAGTGTGATACAAAAACGTTTAATTAAATAATGTGTGTGAATTCAAATGATATATTATATGTGCTTATCACTTGTGGGATATACTTACTTACATGATGGTTATTATATGCCCCACAACTCGGGGGCGTCCACGTGCCGGAATCTCTAGAGTCCGGTTTTGTTTACGAATGGCCGTATGACAACAGAGAGCGAATGAGGTGCAGAGCGATGGGAAAGAAGAGCAAAGCGCAGGCGTAGAAACCGAAAACTCGGCAACACTGGTCAATTTGGGCGGGTATAATTTTGATTTAGCCAGAGATTTCAACGGTTTTTAAATTGAAACTTTATAATTTTCCCTTCGAAGAGTTGAGAGGGGCTGTCCCCGGGGTAAAATCGTAGCATATGTGCAACAAGCGGTTCGGGGTCCCCAAAGGTCCCCAAGAACGCCCCTTCTGCGAAAAACCCTCCCATTCCTCGTAGCCCCTATATTATAACATGGCTATATCAGCGCGCACAGCCTCAGAAAAGTGCGGCATTTCCATTTTCCGTTTAGTTCGACGGCAGACTCGCGCGCGTACGGTTCGAACGGAAAAAGCGACGGGTCCGGAAAACTTCTGGAACTCCTCGGTTCTCGGTTCTCAGTTCTCAGTTCTCGTTTCGTAGCGCCGGTGGAGAAGTGTTCGAAAAAGTAATGCTGGAAAATCAGCTTAGACCTGGCAAAAATGCCGCCGGCACTTTCGATCCCCATCGTAATTGAATTCGAGCCAGCGGATTGAAAATCAAATTGAATTTCACAGCAAAAACACAAAAACGATAAACTAGTCGTTAAATTGAATATACAAATTGGTGTTTTGATTAAAACTAATAAACATAAACACTGAAACCGCCGAGCAGAGAAGCGGATTTTATTTTTAAATAAAATTTCTTTGTTTTTCGCTGTCTACAATTGGCTGACATTGCTCATACGCCCCGTTGGCCCAGTGAAAAGTGAAAAGGGGGAATTTAGCATAGTTCCTGGTAAGCGGCCTTAAGTATTCAGTCTTTTTTTTATTGTTTTTCCATATTACACAAACATTGTTTTCGAAGGGGGGTCTCAATTGCAAAGTTTACTTACTGAAAAGTAACTAAAATTGGTTTAGCGTCCAGCCGAATTAAAAGTTTGTGCAAATTTGAGTTGCGAAAGTAATTAGAAAACTGCTATTTGAGGACAACTTTTGGCTGCCCGTGAAACTTTAGCTCAACAAGTAATTACTTCAATCGCTTAATCAAGCGGTTACAACGAATTTGAAAGATCAAACTGCGGAGCACCCGGTTTTCATCCCAATTTTCCACTCAATTTGAGCATCGAGTTCCACGATTCCGGTGAACCGAGAAATAGTTAACGGATAACCAAAATTCATCACGCCCAATTGAGTTCGTCGATTAAAAGGTCCTCTGAATCTAATTCAGAGTCTGATGATCTCAGATTTCGGGAAATCGTTGCAAAAAAGTACATTTCCCGGAAAGGCAATTAGCTTTATTGAATTTGTTATGTGTTTTTTTCGAAGCCCTCAAAGGAACATAATCTTTTTAGATTATATGCACGCCATTTTTTACATCCTGTGTGATTAAATAAAAACTGTGCGTACTGGATTATCCCTGGGGTATTCTCACATGTGCACATTTCTGATGTTTATAATGCAAATAAACAAAATGCTTAAAATGTATTTATATTGAGATTTAAGTTATTTCCACCTCGGGGGTTTTCAATCCATTTCAATTTCAGGAGAATTTAAAGGGAAAAATATATTTAAAAGACTGTGAAAAAAACGTTTACCAAAATAAAAAGATTCTCAAATCAAATGTGATAGCTAAAAACACAAATGAATATTCAATTAATTGTACTCATTAATTAAAATCAATACAAACTTTATTAATATTTTCGTTGGTTTTATAATAAATTAGATTTATTTATCTTAAAAAGATAAATGTTATCAATCTATTAAAGTCAGATATGCTTGTTATAGCTAAGACTACTACAGTTAGTCTCTTAAAAATACAAAAATAAATAAAAGACAGTTCAATCACAAGAAATTAATTAAATTAAGAACTTGTGTTTCAAGTAGCCTTAAAGGCTTACTCAAAGCGACATAACTTTGAAGATATTTAGCTTGTGGAATAGTAACTAAATTTCCCCCCAACCAAGTGCCAAATAAATATGATATTGCAATTTAATTAGGTTAAAGTGTCCATTTCAAGCTCTTATTCAAAATCGAAGTGGAGCCGTTGGCCAAACAGCCCACTTAATTGGTGCTCCGAGCCGAAAGTCATCTAACTCAATCACAGACGAGCAAAACTTTTGCGGCTCTTAAATATTTAATGTCAACTATGATTAGTGAGGCCGCAAAACGATGGGGGCTATGTGGTAAGTGGGTTGTGGTATGTGGGATGTCGGATGTGGTTGGATTCGGATCCGGATCCGGATAAATGGCTGCTCGGTGGGCAAACGGATGCGTCCATTGGCATCTTCACAAAAGCTCTGCCAACGGTCAGATGAGCAAACCGAAATCCTTTCAACGCGAATTGCTTTCAGAGGAGCCGGAGGATTAAGAGGTCCTGTAAACGGTGGGGTGGTCAGAAGGCCATTAGTTGGCCCCCAAAAACAGAGGCCTTTAAAGGTCCAGGCAGGCGTGAAGCAAACCAAGGGGAATGGGGATCTTTAAACGAATGCGAATAAGTAATAAGTGAGTTCCGAATGCTCCGTATGTCCAGTGTGCCTTTCCACAGTGCTGTCATGCATCAAAACATTTAATTAAATTGAAACCGATGCGGCATCCGCCCCCCACTGCTGACGTCTTTGCTCCTTCTTTTTCTGGGGGGAGCAGGGGCAACTGGGGAGGTGGAGGGCAGGACAGCAGGTCCTTTGGCGCCGGAGACGTGTGTAACTTCGGCTTTCAGCTGGTCACCACACCAGCTCACTATCTCATCTCCTCCGTCCTATACTATATGAATTTAAATGAGCCAAGGGCAGTCCTAAACAAGTCCGTGAATCATGTGCATATTTTAGCGGTGCCCAGTTAAGTTCGTCCTTCTTTCGTGCAGCTCCATTGAACTATGCAGTGTCCTTGTCCGGGAACAAAACCAGGATATATGTGTTTCCCCAGGGGCTTGCCCTGAGATAAATGGGTTAATTCGAAGGTATTGTTCGAGCTCAGGGGCATAAAACTACATAAATCGAAAACACAATCGCCCAATTTATTTGCCTCGAAACTTTGTAGGTAAATCTAATTTAACATGGTTATGCAAATAAAAATTGGCAGGATTTACTATAAAACTTTGTAGTTTTTAACAGATACAAGAGTAAGCTGTTATTTATAGAAAGATAAAAAAACCTATAGATACCCTAAATACTATAATCTATTCAAAATATTAATAATAAATGTAAAATATTTATAATGATATAGTCCCCAAAAAACTTCCATACCCAAAATCTCTCTTCAGAAACCATACAATGTTTCATAAATTGACTGAAGAATTAGCTGGTATTTTGAACAAAGACTTTTTAGAACTTCCCAAACATGAATACCATAAATCGTTCAATTCTTAAATAAGTAAACTGTAAACGCTCCGGTGAACGACTCCCCGTCAATAGGGAAAAGCAATACAAATCAGAAATGGAATATGCTCAAGTTCCCCTTGGCTTCGCCACTGGTCCTCGTCTTTCCACACCAACTGTAGGGATCCGAGATGGGGAACTCACCCGATGGGAGATGGTGATTGAAATGGGAGTGGAGTGCAGACCATGAGACGGGATTCGAGTGGGGAATGTAGTTCTGTCTCCGCTTTGTTCCTCAATTTACACATAATTGCAATAAATTGACTAAGTGGGTGCTGGGGTGCAAAATTTATGGTGGTCCAGGTCCAGATCTCTAGACCTCCAGAGCTCCAGACATTTGGGCGGAACTGCACCCGGTTATTTTCATTTCATTACATTTCTCTCACCACTCGATGGGATTGTTGAGCAGGGCATGCTGATAGACTCTTTTCGATAAGATAAGACATTGAAATATCCACAGGTATGTCTGGTAATTGGTATTGCTGGCCACAAAATACGGGGTACAAGGGGGCGTATGAGCATTGTGAGTCGTATGAGGGCTGAAAGTATTTCTTGCAATCACTGCCCTGGCTTTTGCGGGCTTTCTTTATGGGCCGAGGACTTAGGACCTTAGGATCTCCTTAGGCACACAGCGCAGAATTTAATCTCAACACATTCCAAGCAAAGCTGATTCATTTGCAAATATTTCCAATGCCCGTTATCTGTTATGGCCCATCCAACTTTAGAGGCAAATAAACCCAGTCGAATAGCTTAAACAATTAAATTCGCAGAAGCAACTTGTCCTATCTCAATACTTTTGAAAACAATACAGTACTTGCGCACTTGGCGCACACATATTTCTGCTGTTTATATAGTATTTTAGCGCTTTTATCACCCCGGGTTTATTTATATATATCTGAAAAGGGGATTGTTTAATTTCTGGTGCCGCGCTGTTATTGTTTCTCTGCCTGTTTTTCGGCAAGGTGCGAAGATAAATCCAGCTCGCAAATGAATTCTTGCTCCGAGCATTGTGCGTGGAGCTCATTAAACAATCATTTTGATGAATCTTTGCCCGGCTGCCGAGATTCGGGAGTCCGGAGGAGGAGTATCTTGCCCCCATCCTCCATCGCATGTGGCCAATTTGCAGCACCATATAGTTAATGCTCATTTTGTGCTTAATTGTTTCGCCAGTCTGTGTTTCGTGTGGGTGAGTGTGCCTTGTGGGGAAATTAAAAATGCTCGTTTAAGCCAGCAAAAAGGCGTTGGTAATTACAATTCAAGTTCACTTCCACTACCCCCAGAAATGTGCTTATTACGTTTCGGCCTGGGCCTCTATTTCATTTCTGCCGGCCCAGCTCGTATTTTTGTTTTTTAATAAATTGTTTTAGAAATATATGTGCGGCAGGAAGTGAAAGTACTGTGAATGTGGACCGACATGCCGGGCAGAAAAAAAAATAAAGGAGAAAGGGGGCGGGGCAGGGCACTAGGACAGCGCCCCAACTCTTATTGACATACATATGTAGTGGCACACACACACGCGAGTGCAGAGAAATAAATAATACAGAGGAAAAAAGAGTTGATTAGGTTTGCTAGCTTATAAAAATATACATTCTTAAATATATGTGGAAACTTTATAAGGAGTGCCTCAACTTCACATTACAAAACTTCCATTTAAAAACGGTTAAGTTATTGTTGAGTAATAAGAAATTCCAAAAAAACGTAGTTTAAAGGTTACGTTGAAATATAAAATAAGATCATATATTTATTTATTACATTTTACAGCACTAGACTTAAATGTTGTTGCTATAGTTATTTGAAATGCTTTTTAGATCTTAGATCTTAGATATTATAGACAGTCTATAGATCCTCCCTTGTAGGTTTTATTTAATGTGCACATGTTCAATGTTCCATAAAATATAGTATTTAAAATATATGAATATATTTATATTTGCCTATAAGCAGTGTTTTTTTAAAGTAATAGCTGTTTGAATGAATCCCAATTGTTGACTTACCTAATTGACTTTTCTCCCAGTGCACACCCAAGGGACTGGGCCGTCCACATAGACCCGCACTGTTGCTGCAGCCACACACTCCCACTCCCGATCCCCCGATCCCCGATCCCGGGCCCAGTGACCCACCAATCCACGTACCCCCCAACCGACCCGCAAAGTCCCACCGACTAAACTCGTCTTGATTCCTCCGCGTTGTATGCCTGTGACTATGGGACTACGACTATGCCACCCCGTACTTGACTTGTCAAACACAAAACACAAGAAAGAGAAACTGAAACTGAGACTGAAACTGCCGAGGGAGCGGGAAAACCCGGGCCTTTTATTCTCGGTCGTAATGATGGCTGCATGTGCTTTCCACGCTCCTACAAAATATGTGGAATGCTCTAAGCAGCCGTGGCGAGTCGAAGGTCCGAGGGAAATTGCTTTACTTCAGCAAAAAGAGTCAGCCACGAATTTCCACATAATCAATACCGAACAGAGGAAACTTAGCTGGCCCATAGTTTAAACTGTTCAAAAAGTTTTGGTTATCTTTTTCCCACTTAAGTTCTAGAATAAAATCTTTGTTATTAGGTATTTAAAAGAAATTTTTCTTTAAAATCACTTAAAATGGTGCCTGAAAGTAGGCAGTAAAAAAATTCAAGCGATTTTCAGACATAATATATATATATATATATTTTTTTTTTTTTTTTACTTTTATTAATGTGGAAATTTTATTCTTAGGATTAGCGCACTGCTACTCGACTGGCAGCTTAATCTAATCAGTTTTTTCAAAAATAGATACAATACTTAGTCTAAGGGTTGCTTAAGGCAAGAAATAATTTCGTTATTTTTATTTATTTGATATTAATATTGAGGGTGGTGATGTTGGTGATAATATATATTGATGCATTTTTTTAAACACCTCTATGAATGATTTCAAAAACTTTAAGTTTTCCAAATCTGCTTTTTTAGTTACTGAAATAACTCTACTTAGATGTTTTTAGTTTAACACATTGAATAACCAAACCATTTTGAGAACAACCCGAACAATTTCTAAATTATGAGTAGCGAAAATTCATTTAAAAGTTTGCACTATGTGAAAACTGGAATATTTGCGTTTCCTCCGCTTGAGCAAGGTGGTCCAGAGTTCGGCAGAGCCCTCTCGAAAGTGTTTACCCTGACGTTTTGAAAGGCCCGACGCTGTCTGGGGCACTTCTATAGAGCAATACTTCAAAGTACTGGGCTCCCAGTCTATCTGGGCTTCAATTGATAAACAAAGAGCTAGTCGTCTGAGAAAAGGGCGAAACAACCGCGAGTCAGCGAGACAAACTCGCTTAAAAGTTTACAAGTCGGTAGCCGAAACTGATGGCACAACACGGCGTATACGCAACCCGCACGACTTTCCACAGCATCAGCACTTTCTGTCACTTTCGGTGGCTTCCCAATGGAACGTGACAGTTTGGCCATTTTTCAAGTTCACTGAAATTCCCCGGGAATCTAATTTTTTTTGCGATTATTGCAGAAACGCAATTTTCCAGAGGACATCAGTCAAAAACACCCCAAGAACATTTCTCAACTTCGGAGAAAAAAGGGCCAGCAACTTTTAGTTGGTTGAGCATTTAGCTGGCATTTACTTTTTTTCAAATATTTGCACAAATCGAACGCTTCGTTTTCGGGGGCGTGAAACGATCTGCCAATTATGGTGAACATTCCTTTTGAAGATTGTTTGCCTTTCATTAATACTGCATCACTTGCACTTCAGCTTGCCAGTTTTCAGCTTTCAGTTCGCAGTTTCCAGGCCAAACCAGAACCAAAACCAAAACCAACTTATTAATTTGTCTGTGGCATATGCTTTGTTTTGTCTATTTGCAGTCATTATTTGTAATCATTTCCTCGGCAGACAAGCTGCCGGCAATTGATTTCCAACCGCCCGGTGTTTGTTTAATAGCTTTCGATGGATGGACTTGGGGGAACGGGATGCATCTTTGTTTCCGGGGGTACTGAGGCGCACTATTGATATTTACTTGGCTGATAAAGTGTTATTCCGACACATAAATTCGTACAGGGGAAGAAAAAACGTATCTTTCCTTAAAACTATCTGATTGAAAATGGTTTTAATAAGCTAGCCAAACACAGCTTTCTCATATACCATAAAATATATAAAGATATTTATTATCCAGAAAACGCTACCATATAAAAACCCATTTTACTTTAAAAACAATTATAATGGTGTATAAAAGTATGCAGAGAAAAATAGAACGTCCTCTTGGAATAAATCTCTGTGACTCCGGGATTCAAATAATAATGTTGCATACTTTTAGACTTGTAGTAATAAAATTCTGGTGCTGGCGTTGTAGTTTAGAACCCACTGACTTTCCACTTAGTCTTCAACACATTTCCTAATTAATTGCTTTATGCATAAGCTTTCCTTAGAACAATGTTATTATTGGATAAATATCTCTCACCTTCTGTCGCAACCAAAATAGGACTACTTTATTCCTGACCTTTGAATATTTTCCTACTCATACCTTTCACTCTACCTGGGTAAACACAGTTGAATTTTTTCCATTACTGCTGGCTGGTAACAAAGTATGAAAGCCAGCAGAGTAATAAAAACGCGTGGAAGGAAAGTAAAGCGGCCACTCGGATTATCGTTTTGTTAAACTTCAAGTGACGCGACTGGTAGTCGCAATTATCTCGAGCTGCCAAGGACAGATCTGGGGCATAATTGAAGGACGACCGGTTGGCTCCCGAGGAAGGACCTTTCCACCACTCGTCCTGGCCTTTCAGCATGGACAGAAAGTAGGCAAAAAGTAAAAAAGAAGAAGGTCTACTGTCTACTTCTGTTGAAACAATTGTTTGCGACTCATCAGACACTCGAAAGGCAGGTGAATCTAGCTCGGGGGACACATAAAAAGGAATAGCTCCACAGGGTTTCTTTTTTCAATTGGATTGGAGCTATTTCTGTCCAAATAAAGACGCACCACTCCACAGATAATATCGAATATATTTAGGCTTTGGGGCCATTCATATATCATTTATTTGATAGGACTTAAAATGGTATTACATGGATAACTTTTTATTATTAATTCCCAGAACATTAATTTAATTTCCAAGAATAGAATGCAATTCCAACTTAATGATAACTTTATTAAGTAATGTAATTTACCATTCAGAAACATTTTTAATTGGGCAGCTTTAGCCCCTCTTCCGGTTGCTATTCATTACCTATTGGAATTATAAATTAGTATTATTGGCCTGGAAACGAAAAACAAACTTTCGCATTGGACAAATCACCGGCATTTACCGCTCCCAAAGTTTCCAAGGCATCCGATCCACTAATGGCCACCACTTCTCGGTCTCATCAAGAGGCACACATTCGAGAACTTTGCTGTGAGGGAAGTCCTAAGTCAGATTATTCAAAGAACTAGAAAGAAACCACAGAAAAGTTCTAAAGAAGTGCAGGAGATAGGGCGTGAATGAGTCACGTGCCGAAAAATGAAACAAAATCAAGGGGAAATCAAAATCGATATGAATGCTCGTACCTTCTGCCATGAGCACGTAGCAGGAATGTGAAAACTTTCTACTGAAAATGAGCATCAAAAAGCTTTGTTTCGGCACAAACAACAAAGATCACACAATAAGATGAAATAAAATAAAATAAAACATGCCAGAAATGAAATTAGACGGTCTTGTCCAACGTTTTCTTTGCATTTTTCAGGTCGGAGGAGTTGGCAAATGGAAAGCAAATAGGGAAAAGGCAAGGGATACGCAACATTAACTCGCAAATCCCCCTTGCAGGGATAAGACCGAAGTGAAAGTACGATTCCAAAGGTCGCCAGCCATGGAGAATCGCAGTGACTTCGAGGCGGATGATTACCCCGACCTCAGCTGGAGCAACTGGAGCAACTGGAGCACCCCCGCGGCCGTCCTCTACTCGGCCATGAGCAGTGTCCTGGCGGCCACCAACCAGACGCCCCTTCCCGATTTTGGCCAGGACCTCGGCCAGTCCACCAGCTCCTTCAATCACAGCCAATCGTGAGTAGAGGCCGCTTCCTCTCTAATGCCTAATTATGACACACAAACCCAATTAATGTCGAGGCTCACGCACGAATAGAGTGTCTTTTGACATGGGTCCCGAATTTTCGGCTAAAGGGGATCAGAAAAAATTAACCTCTTACTTAACCTCTCAAGAATGTATTTTGTATATTAACTTTTTAACTTTGCAAACTTTCCTTGGTTATTCTCTTAACATTTACTCCTTGAATCTGTAAAGTTCTTTAGATTATATAGCCTTATTATAAAAAATCACTAATCAAATATTATAAAGTTTCTCTACTACATGTATTAATAGATAGTATTTTTTTGTTGCATGTTAAATTTATGTGTGCATACAGGGAATTCCCAAAATGCTGAATCCGCTTCTACCATTTATATGTTTGGTTCGAAGGTCATGGCTGAAATGTTGATTAGGCCGAAGTGCAAATAAAATAAAAACAAACAAAAACTTAAAAACTCGGATTGATTGTGATCAATGCAGTAACATCTATCGATACTTGAATAGCTTTTAAATATAAATGTAAAAAGTTATTTATTGATTTTTTGGGTTAATCAAACTTCTAAAGTGGCTTTTTTGCAAAAAAAATGGTAAAATTGCTACTAACACCCGACTTTTTCAGTTATTTTTTTATAATTTACTCTGTTATAATTATTCTGTACTAAAACGTGGCAGTTCAATTTCACTTTTCACTTAAAAAACAGGAATCAATTGAGTTCCAAGACTTTCTATGCCCCCTAAACCCCCCCACCTACGCCACTGCTTAATGAAAGGGGAATGGCCCCCATAGCTCCTAGATTTCGTGGCTTTTTGATGAGTACTGATGAGACCGCCTCCGCATCAGTTTTAATCGCGATGTAGGAGTGACTTGTCCCACACCGACATGCATCTCTAATGACGCCGCTAGTCATTCAGTCATTCCGCCATTCAGTCACTCATTCAGTCATTTCCGTTTGGGCCGCTCGACGTTGGTTCTTCACTTCCGTTTCAAATACATAAAACGGCGGAGATACTCTCTACATAAGTATATACACAAAAAACTGCGGGTGCTATGGCATTCAATTCTATTCCATTCTTTCCCGGCTGAAAAAGCGTCGGCACTTTTTGCAGACATGTCCCAAATTTACTGCCATTTAGGTACCAGCAGCAACAAATGGGGTTTCTGCGACAGTCGGGATAGAACTGGGATAATTATTGGGATATGGCTGCGACTGACGCATCGAAAATAGATTTTCTGCAAACCCTCAACGGCTATAGATCCTTCAGGCAGTGCTCAACACTCAATCCCAGTTTCATATTGGCTGCTGCTCTTTTTTCCCTACCGAGTTTTCTGTTTGTTTGCGCAGACACTACGTCCGATTTATGTGCAAATAAAAGGCAAACCGAAGTTGGCCAAAAATATTGGGGAGGACGAGGGATATACTTCTGTCATGGCATATTTTTCGGCACAAAAGAATTCATGCATCAAAGCAAAAACATATTTGTACACATTTCACTGAAGTGGCACAATAACAATTTTATTTGCCCAAACTGTCCACATTCCCATAACAACTAATATAAAAGACATGGGTTAATTGCTGCCTAGTCTATTTTGGGGCAGTTCATATATATTTATGTAACGAAAACGGCTCTTTAGTATAAAAATATTTATTTAAAGAAGATATTAAATCTGTTCCTTTGTGAACAATAAAAATAAGGAACAATAGAGCATTTAAGAACTTTAAACAGCTCCCTTAGTGGCATAGAAATGAGTTAGTTTATCAAAATCAGACTAATCAAATACAATTTCAGACATATACCACTCATTTATAGGGCTTTCCTTAAACCAATATACCCCTATAGTTCGCTGTACAACTGCAGTATTTAAACCTCTACATCAATATCAACAAGGCTGGGAGATCTGGGGGCGAAAGACATCAGAATAGTAGCAACATTTTATTACTTTTGTCATGACATTTTCTTTGGCCCGGGGCATCCTGAATTTGCTTCTCTGACTCTTCTATTTTCTGTTTCTGTTTGTGCCCCCCAGCCATTTCTCATTCCGCTTTTCATGGGCCTATCTGGAGGCCCCCATGAAAACGAATCAATAATCCTCTTTGCATTAGGTCCTCGAACATAAGAGATTTCATGTAAATCCCCGCAGTTTGTCATGCGAAAAAGGGTGTGTATGAGAAATACTTATGTGGGCATCTTTTTAATTGCTCTGGAGAGTGGGTAAACAGAGCATTAATGACTACCTAGCCAATTTAGTGCCATCTCCGGCACAGTGCGTGCATATTAAATGACATGGCTGACATGATGTCCTGGTCTCCCAGTGTCCTGGCCGGGATCTTGCCCCACAAATCCGCTGAAGCTGGGCCCCTCTATCTAAACACCCTCCTAGAAGCGAACCTAAATAAACAAGCCGAGACTCGCAAAATATTAAAAAGATGACGACAACCGCCGATGAGTGAGTGGAATGGATGTGGAGTAGAGTGGAGTGGATTCTCCTGCCCTCCGGCTGGGCTGAACCCGAATCCGAACCCGAACACGATGTTTTATGCGGCAGACGGCGCTGAGGAAAAACACGGATTTGTCAACGCACGCACAATTACACACGCTTAATAGCGACAACATCCTAGAGTCGCACGTAGAGCTACACTGGGAGAAAATCATAATGAGTTTGGGGTTTACTGGTAAAATGTATGGAATTAAATACATTTGAACTATATTCAACATAGCATTTTAAAAATATTTTATATATTTTACAATGTTAATATCAATATCTTTTTAGATATTCAGATTACTTATATGATGCTATTAGACATAAAACATATAATTTATTATTTTAAAGAAATGTATCTTGGATGTAACTAATTAAATCAAAGAAGCTGAAATGAAGTGGCGACTGAGATAAGGAAGCCATAATTATCATAGAGAATAGGCTTCTGATTAATATTAACTTTATGATATCTTTGAGCTTATTGGGTTTGTAAGTTTTTCTCACCGTGTACATTGCTTGTAAGCCGAAAGCACCCATTCGCATGCTTACATAGACACATCACCCACTTGGCACTCGTTTATGGCGGGGCGGTGGGACACCGTGAAACATAACACACACTTAATCCCGATGTCACTAATTCCCCATTGTACCCCGTGTGCCTCCCTTCCATGTCCTTCCATCCGCAGACTATCCACCGACCTGCCCGCCACCCTCGACGCGGAGGACGCGGCCAAGGATGCGGCGGCGTCCATGGAGACGGGCTCGTTTGCATTTGTGGTCCCGTGGTGGCGTCAGGTGCTCTGGAGCATCCTCTTCGGCGGCATGGTCATTGTGGCGACGGGCGGTAACCTGATTGTTGTCTGGATCGTGATGACGACCAAGCGGATGCGGACGGTAACCAACTATTTCATAGGTGAGTAGGCTGATTTGCCTGTGTTGTGTGGACAAACGTTGCGTATACGCAATAAAAATCACTCATACGCCGTGTGGTTCGTGTGTGTGCTTAGCTTGTAAATTAAATATTTGCCTGCTTAGTGTGCAGATATTTCAGAAATATATACAGGGGGGCCACAAAAATCACTGGGGTTTTGAAATTAGTTTAAGGAGTACCCGAAAGTATGCTACAAAAAATGTACCTTTTCAAAGCATACTTTTCAACACCTTCATAGGAGTTTTAAAAATCTCAGATACTTTCTAAATTGAACTAATTAACAGAGAAATACCAAATTAAAGACTATAGAACTATTCTTTATTTACACATTTTCCTCCAATTAGGAAGTAACTTTTCCCCTTTAGTTTGTCCAGAGTCCAGGTCGACGAGCTCTTGTCAGTCGGAAGAGTTTGTTTAAGTCTTCCCGGGAAAAAATGAAGGGTGGATTACCTATTTATGTCTGCTGCTCCGTGGAGCACTTAAAGAGCAACTGAATTGGTTGCTGTCCCCATTCCTTTCCCCCTGCATTTTGCATACGCCCTGTTGCACCGCTCAGATATTAACTTTGCTGCCCCCAATCCTCCACCCTTTGCCTATTTCGACGAAGTGGAGGACCAGCTCAGTGCCCAGGATGGTATTAATTTTAATTTCCTCAGCTTTGGGCATCAAATCAAGTTATGAAGTTTCGCTTGCTAGAGATGAGCTCGGCTTTCATTAATTGAAACTGCTTTTAGTCACGTTTCAGAGTGCATTAAATTTGCATTTGCAGGCTCATCCGGAATCATGCACACACTAATCACACTTTTAATAATTTAAACATGCACACTTAGAGAGGCCGAAGTCGTCGAGAGTTGTGCGAAAGTTGGGGCAAAGTTAGTGACATTTTCCAGATAAGGATGGTCTTTAAATACCACTTGGCTACCTGATTGCCCGCTTTATGCATGCGCAATTATTTTAATATAATACCCCAGGCAACTTGGGACAGGGGGCAATGAAACGAACCTAGAATTGATTCCGTTTATTCCGAGCTTACAACTAATCCAGCTCTTCTGTTGCAAAGGGGATCCCCCTTCAGATTCCCAACAGATATACAGATACGAGTATAACAATGGCAGGGGCACAATGTTGGCCTCAACCATCCATATCCTCTTTCCATCCTGGCTTTTCTTTTGTCTGACTTAGTAATGATTATTATTATTACGTAAACTAAATGCCCGCTGAGCTCGCAGGGCTTTTCGAATTTGCATTTATAAATACACATTGGCAATCATTATTAGTAACAAGTTCTGTCGTTTTAATCATTTTTGGGCACACGAAAATTTCAAATTCACATCACAGCCATCTGGAACAGCTCGAGGTTTTGGGTTTTGGGGAGGGGGTTGGGCTTGAGTTTTTCGGGGGAAGCCAGTCACCGGATGATAATCTTCTTTGGGTTCATTATCAATGCGTATTTGCATCTTTTGTTTGAGTTCGTTGGTTAGAGTATCCTTTGTTTTTGGGTCTCTTCGCTTTCTTGGGAAGTTAGTATGCTTATGTCAGGGTTACATCACGAGGTTTCCTTGGAAAAAAGGATTTATTTTGTTTTGTTTTCTTAAAAACTCTTCTATAAATCCATAAAGTAAAATAACAACTAAATGCTATCTAGGGTTTTAAAAAATATTTTTCATATTTGTCAAAAAGTAAGCTACAAGAAGGACTTAAAACATATTGTAGCATACTATTGGACACCATGTACTATTCAATTCTGTGGCACCTTTGATTAATCAAGATTTTAAGCTGATTTAAGCTTCACCACAAGGAAAAACTGTTTAATTTTCATCAGCTTATAAATGATTTTCCTGGTCCCTGAGATCTAACAGAGAAAGTGTGCCCCCTGCATAAGCTGTGGTCCTGAAAAGTAACATTTTGTTATTAATTAAAATGGGCCAGAATCGATTTTGGTACGTGGCTGACAGGTACTGGCCCCGGGGACAGTGGAGGTAGGATAGCGAGGTGGCCAGATAGCCATATAGCTATAGTCAATGGCCCCGGGAGTCAGCTCGACTGTTAGGATGCGTAACGTCGCCTCGTGTCGTGTCGTAGGCGTCGCTGGATCCGCAGGACCTACAAGATTCACAGGACACACAGGGCTAATGCTCGGCGAAGGGACATTTGTTTTATTGTAGGTGCTGTTTCGGTTTCGTGATGCTTTTTATTTTCTGGCACTTCGTCGCCTTATCTCTACGGCAGATAATGAAAAGTAAACAAAGACGGCGGGCAGAATTTTCTTTTTATTTTTCTTGTTCGGCGCCCCCATTTTCTTTTCTCGGCTCCTGTTGTATTGTCTAGGGCTGCTGATTCATTGGCATGTAAATCGCTCCATGCAAATGAAACACAATAAAAGTATATACATTCCCCATCGAGATGTATATCTTTCGATTCCTGTTGATTTTGGCACAAATATGCGGGTGAAAGTGCACTTTATTCCGCTGTAATTTGGGTAATTATAAATGTAGGTACAACGCATAAATAAAAGGTAAGTGGGGTCCTCAAAGGTTGTGTAATTATAAAAAATCTTCTTTGTTTTGCATAATTTGTTTGCCTTTGCCACTCGAAAAGTTATGAATGATTACCTGTTTTTGCCCTTTCCGGTTGCTGAACCATGAATCCTGAAGTGAATCTCTCCATCGCGGATGCCATGGTGTCCAGTCTGAATGTGACCTTCAACTACTACTATATGCTGGACAGCGATTGGCCCTTCGGCGAGTTCTACTGCAAATTGTCCCAGTTCATCGCCATGCTGAGCATCTGTGCCTCCGTGTTCACTTTAATGGCCATCTCCATCGACAGGTGAGTGGAATTCAGAATGGGGCACACACGGTCCCCCATCATATGCATATGCATGCAAAATATTCCGACCTATCGAGACCCTTATCAATCACGGTCAAAAGCACAGGGCAAATAACCCATTCGTTTTAATAGGATTTCATAGGGCCGCAGACATGGGAACACAATTGGATTGCCCGGCACAAGGATCAGAATAAAAAAAACCATCACACGTACTTTGTGTTCCGTTCAAAGAACATAAATAAATAATGTTCCATCTGCTTAGGCCGCAGCATTTATTGATGATTCATCTACTTTGAAAATATCAAGTGCCCAAATCGAATTATTCCGTCTAGTAAACAAAATAGCCGGCAAATAACTTGAGAGATTATAAATAACTTTTGACCGAATGCCTAGTGATTGTTAGAGGGAAGAGTAATCCCTTTTTCGTCTTAGAGGCATTTTCATCGCACTATATCGTCTAGTAAACAATGTGATATGTTTATAAATAATTCTCGATTTGCTCAGTGCCAAAAATTTATTGAAAATTTATCGTTTCGAGCTCGTTGGCATATAAATTAAAATATACTGTCAAGTCAAGACATGTACAAAAAGTTAAACCTGCTGAGGCCAAAACATTTAGCAACGAGAATTTGTTTATGGGAAAACCCTATCCCTAATTCTAAGGAATATTTCTTTTACTTGACTTTTTTAGCAATAAATAATGTTTCAGCTGCTCAGTTCAAAACAATCAGTGGAAATTAATGTATTGGAAATCTTAAGTGAATAAATTCAGTTAATGTACACTCCAGAAAGCTTACCCAACATAAATAATGTTTTTCTTTCGCACATAAATTAAAGTAATGCCTAGACAAACAATACATAAATATTGATTCGCAGGACGAAAACCAAATAACAAGTAAGCCCGAAATTGAGAAAACGTGTTCTATTTAAAATCCCAAAAAAAGCACCTCATATTTGTAATTATAAACCAGAACATAATGCCATTCGCCGGCTATTAAGTTTCTATATAAACTCCCTTAATGACTGCAACTTTTAATGGCCTGCCGCGATCCGACGAATAACACAGCTCCACGCAGACCAAAATTCGCAGATTAAATTACTTTCGGGCTTTAGCGCGCTTTAATTTCATTTTGCAGAGCCTTTTTTTCGGGTGACCTCGTGCATTCCGATAATCAGCTTATGGGGGTTCCCTTTTACCCCTTTCCAGGGAAAAGTTTTTCCAGAGGGGGCTGGAAATTGTTTTAAAACTGAGTACTCTTTCGCAGATACGTGGCCATCATAAGGCCGCTGCAGCCGCGGATGAGCAAGCGATGCAATCTGGCCATTGCCGCGGTCATCTGGTTCGCCTCCACCCTCATCTCCTGCCCCATGATGATCATCTACCGGACGGAGGAGGTGCCCGTCCAGGGGGACGGCAACCGGACCGTCTGCTATCCGGAGTGGCCCGACGGGGATACCAATCACTCGCGGCTGGAGACCCTGTGAGTATCCTTCGGCTGCCTTTTTTCCGGTTCTGAACTCAGTCGAATTTTTGCCTGTCGAAGTTGTCGGAGCTTGTTAGTGAATCCAATCCAATCCAGAAGTTAGGACAAAGGAACTGTTTGGGCTCTACACAGAAAATAAATTGTAGTTTCCTATTAACCAAAGATATAAAAGATAGAAATATATCTATATTCTTTACAATAGAATAGCATTTATACTACCACTTGCAATTCGGATTATTTAAATGGGTCTTTAAAGTCTTGTTTTTGAAGATTATGTTATTATCCATATAAAGTTTTTGGGAATGCCTGGAATTTGAATAAGTTGTTATTTAATTAAATATATTTCAATATTAAATTTTTAATACTTAAAGTAACGCTTCGCTGTTTCATCTTTTAAGGTGTTTTATAAGATCCAAAAAGAAATAACGCCTTAAAGAAGGTATCAAATGTAAATTCTTTTAATTTTTAATGTAATAACCAAAGTGCATCACAATTGAGGGCTGTGCATGGGAAATCACCTTGAATTTGGTTGCCACCGAGATGAAGGTGTAAATCAAAAAATCACAACGTCATTCCAGCTGGCGGAATGCACATGCAGGGACAATTGTAACCCAGATCTGCAGTGGGACATGGGGATTATCGGGGATGGGGTCGTAAAAGCGAACATTCGGAGACAAAACTGAACCAAGACGTTCTCATAAAAAAACAAATGGCAGAATGGGTGGTTTGCCAGGAAGTGGAGGAAATCAGGAAGAGGGGCATATAAAACGTGTTGCTTTTTACAGCCATTTTGTATGGCAATTTGGCAGCAGGCAGTGGGGGTCCTGCGTCCTGCGTCCTGCGTCCTGCATTGTGTCCCACATGCAAGGCCATTAATTTTAGATTCATTCCAAATTGCTACTTGCTCAATAAAAAATAAAACAAAAGCCAAAGGCGGCAACAATGTCCGATGGAGCGATATGAACGGTATGAAAGGTATAGGGGATATATGAGGAAGTGGGGATGGGGGGCTCTAAAAGCATTGCTCGACTGACTGAAAGGCTTGTAAACATGGTGTTTGATCTATGTACTATTTGTGCGCCTCTGTCGTTTAGCTACAACATCCTCATCATCATTCTAACCTACTTCCTGCCCATCGTGTCGATGACGGTCACCTACTCGCGTGTGGGCATCGAGCTCTGGGGATCCAAGACCATTGGCGAGTGCACGCCCCGTCAGGTGGAGAATGTGCGGAGTAAACGGAGGGTAAGTAGTGGGTTTACGGGGTCCTATGGCACTTGGTTAGCAATTAGCACTTGGTTGTGGCAGACCCCAGATTGGGATCTAAAGCATGCTAGGAAGTCTCTATTAATAGATGGCTTGGTTTTGGAGTAATTAAAACGATTTTTAATTTTCCTTAGTAATTTAAATACTATTTTAATAAACATAGTATTAGGAACTTGGTAAATTTCATTAATAATTTTATTAGAATTAAATTTATTAAAATGTAACTTATTAACTATAATCTTTACTGTCTTAAAACTTAAGATACTTAGCGGTGGGCATTTGGTTTTTAAGGGCCTTGTTTAAAAAGCCCTTGTTCTTTTCTTTTCCTTTTCAGGAAAAGTAATATGAACTAGATGTATTCATTTCAATTTTATTCCATAAATATAATTTCTGTAAAGTTCTTTGAGCTTCAAAATATTTGGAATTAATTTTGAGCAAGTTTTACTACAATTGTTTTTCCAGGTGCTTTAGCTTTTGTTTAATTTGTATTACTTTCCCTGACCATTCACTTTAGTTTGGCTACCTTTGTTGATGCCTAAAGCTTTGATTAACTTTTTTGATATGCCTTTAGCATTCAAAAAGTTTACAAGGAAATTAGTTTTCCGGAATAACAGATATTGTTTTCTGCTTTTAATTCTTAGATTATAAAATAAAATATTGTACAACAACTTTTCTGAGTAGAAGCTGCATTTAAGCCATTTTCTGTTGACATCACATTTGATTATGTTTCTCTACCACAAAACTAGACTAATGGCTTTTAACTGTAGAATGAAACTCAAAACGCCTGGAGAACACATGCCCTGACCATAAGGTTTCCCCACTTTCCCACAGGTGGTGAAGATGATGATTGTGGTCGTCCTGATATTCGCCATCTGCTGGCTGCCGTTCCACAGCTACTTCATCATCACATCCTGCTACCCGGCCATCACAGAGGCGCCCTTCATCCAGGAACTCTACCTGGCCATCTACTGGCTGGCCATGAGCAACTCCATGTACAATCCCATTATATACTGCTGGATGAATTCGCGGTGAGTAGCTGAATCGATTGCCACTTTATTCAGTTTCCACGTGTCCACGTGGCCGTGTTCCATGTTCCTAGACCAAGCTCATACGGTTGCTTTAACCCGCAGCAAATTGGGTAATTTGCGGTTGAATTAGCACCATTAGGGCACTAAGTGCAGTGGCATTCAAGACTTCGACATCTCGGCGATAGAGCCCCGTAGACAGATTAGTTGATTGGTTGTCCGACTCCCCGGAAATTAATGTGCTCGTCATCATTACTGCAGGGGCGACGGGCGGAATGCTCCTCGGTTAGTGGATGTCACTGTCTCGCACTTTGAATATAGTTTGTAAATAAATGACAACATGACTCCCGGGAAAGTGACATACAGCTGCGGTCGAAATACAGTCACCCAAGTTGACAGACATTTAGGCCACTGAGAAGATGGATAAGTCTTTATTATTCAGAAGGATTGTAGTGCATTCAGGGTATTTAACCCAACAATTAGGCAACATAAATATAAGGCCTTAAGATCTCTAAATCAATCACTTATAAAGGTGTCTAAAATTATGCAATACTATTTTTAACCCAAAATTCCGTTCTGTAAACCAAAATCATTAAATGTAAGGGGCTGCATTTGTAAACCAATTATAAAAAGTCCCTAAAGAGTGCAACAATATTGTATAGCCCGAACAATTTATTGGATTTTTTACTGCATACTTTTGGTCACCTTTAAAAGAGGTTTCAAACCTAGGGATTTCTGTGGCAGGCTCCACAAATAATACCCAGACCTATTTTTTTGACCAAACCTGTGGGTGTGAAAATATGTACACTTAGTTTTACATACATCCTCACTTAAACAAAAGGCGTTGCTCACACATGTATTGCCGTACAAATTGGCAGTCGGTGTTCGTGCGTCCGTGTCCGGAAAAACGTAGCGGATTGCAATTAATTCCGCTCAGTCAGCGGATATCTGACTGATGGGGAAACGCTGGCCTGGAACGGAAGCCGGGGATAATGGGGCTCCTACGTGAAATAAAAAACTACGGCGGCCAGCACGTGATACCAAAACCCACTGCCCAGGATCAGCGCCTGTCAATTGATGGCGCCCCATATGCAAATGATGACGACAACGACATCGAAGGTCCTTATTTATATTTACTACCCATAGGGAACACGGGATATTAAGTTGCCGTGATGGCCCGTAAAAAACACTCCCGCTACACCATAGATTATATGAGTAAGTGCTGTCTAGGTCGCTGTACAGGATGGTCTGTGGAAGCCGGGAACAAAAAAGCTGCTCATAAATAAAACAAGTTGATGTGTTTCAAGGATTGCCAGAATTGTTATCCATAAATACGGAATTAAGCAAGTCGCCCGGGGGCGAAGTATTGAGGTGTCCTCGGGGTGGGTTTTATTGAATTGCCTGTACCTAATGCACAAAAGCTGTTATGCTTCAAAAATTAAAATAGTAATGAAATTGGGAGGTACTTTATTATTATTGAGCCTTGGAACCTTTAGCAAATTTATAGATATATATACATTTGATTTTAATATTTGTTGTTAGCTGCGTAAATTAACTCCAGTACTATCAAATTTTCTCTCCGTGTATCTGCCTAGTTTTCGATATGGTTTCAAGATGGTTTTCCGCTGGTGTTTGTTTGTGCGCGTAGGCACGGAACCCTTCAGTCGGCGGGAGAACCTGACATCCCGGTACTCCTGCTCGGGTTCCCCGGATCACAATCGCATCAAGCGCAATGGTGAGTTCTTGCCCCTCAAAAGGGATTGCACGCTAATGAGCCCCTCAATTGATATTGATAGATACCCAGAAATCGATACTTTATACCTGCCCCAGCTCACCGAAATCGCATCGAATTTCGCACAGCGGTGAGTTCGGATTCCAGATTATCCGGAAAAATGGATGAGCAAAAGTAGCATCTAATCCAATGTCTTCTCGAAATCCCTTTCCCAGGAGCTCCACGCAGTGCGACGCTGAGGAATAGTCTGCCGGCGGAGTCCCAGTCAACCGGTGGCCACAGGAAGAGGATGTCCTACCAGCAGGAGCTGCAGCAACGGTGGTCAGGAGCTCCGATTGGTGGCCAGAACACCAACTCCAGCAGTACGGCCAACACCACCCAGCTGCTCTCCTGACAGCCGGCCATCCAGGTGGTTCCTCCGCCGGAGAGGGAGGGCCGCGAGAACCTGGAGCTGCAGACCCAGATCGTCTGCTCCTCGCCCTACAACAACAACTACCGGCGGGCCAATCCCGGCATCTCCGACCGGGATTCGTCCGATGACAAAACCTGGCTCTAAGCTACTTATAAGGTCTCGAATTTATACATTTACAAAAGGTCTTTTGGATTGTTGGGAGATTATTGGTTGCCCGCCTAGTTCAAATTTCAATTCGCTCTTGAAGAAACCAAAGCTAAGTTAGGATACCAACCTTGCCCTTCGAACATATCAGATATAGCTCGGTGCCCACTAATTTGGGTATTTTCAATCATAAATAGCCATCTGTATATCTGAAACCCAATACGTTGTTGAATTCCAGTGGGAAAGGTTGTTCGGCGGCAAGGAAAGACTAAATATAATACGATTTCCCATGTCCATGGGCCTCATTAAGATACTATGTACTACTGATCCATTTGAGTCACTGTAAATATTCGGATTGGTTCCTAAAAGAAACTGTTTTTAAATCTTAATTCTCAACGCTTACGGCTGCTTGCTTAAGTTGTAACAAATAAAACGCGAAACAAATAAACAAATGACTATGAATGTGAATGTTCGTGTAAATATAAATGTCTGAATATAAACGTTATTGCGAATAAAGCGACTTGCTCCATCACCAAGTGGTTCCTAGTTGTATTGGGTTCCCATCTCCTTTCCGGGTGCACAAACAGGGACTGTCAACATTCTGGAAGCGACTCTGTTTATTCAGCTATTTCATCCATATTATATTCGGCGTGTGAATGGGGATGGGGATGAGGATGCGGATGAGGTGATGAGGAATGGCAACCAGGACAGGAGTGGCAGACACCCTTGCGAGTCTAGCAAACCCCAGCTCCGGCAACAGGGTGTAAGATGAATTTAAATATGAATAATCCAACTGCCTAGGGCTCCTGAATAAAGGTCTCTGAATCTGGATCCGAATCCAACGTATTTGAATGCACATGTGCCTGTGTCTATGCGAGCTATGCCCACCAGCCAACTTTCCCGCCTGGCGTATCAATTTTTTATCAGTAACCATTTTAGAGAAAATTGCATTTCATTTTTTTTCGACTTTATTTTATGTGCCCCATGTAAGCACTTCCCCAAACCATCCGAGCATGAACAAATTTGCAACCCTCAACTCACTTAATTCCACGCCGTTTTATTCCTATAAGTTATGAATAATTCCGCGAAATGAAAATACCTGTCAGGATAGAGTTCCAGGGGCTTGCAGATTTATGAATGTTTCAAAAATATTTAAATATTTAAAATATATTTCAGTTCCTTACTCTATGCCTACAGTAAGTAATTTATGTATATGTATTACAGGGTATTTGTCAGCCTTTATAAATATGCTTGTTCCAATATGGCTTTCCTTAGATCCCACGGAAGTGTGTATTTTAGTCTCCCGAGGATTGTTTTCACAATATTTACATTAGCGAAAGTCATGCGACTTCCTACTTTGACCAGATATACTTAAATACTTGCTTTCCCCATTTCCACATATATATTCTTTGAAAAGGTTTTAAGTACAGCCTCTTGTGATGGCGACAGGAACTTGCTAAAGGGTTTCCGCCACATGGGCGTATCCTCGGGGGGAGTACTCAAAGGGTGACAAGTTTTAGGAATCCATTTATTCCAGTTAAAGTCGTTGCGTAGAAATAGATTAATCCACAAAGCACTTCATCCAGAAATGTAAAATATTAAAATTTATAGTAACGTCAAGGTTTGGCAAAGTGCATTGGGTGCATAAAAAGCTATAATCTTTCGGTTCTTATTTTTATTTCGTTGAGTAATGGCATACTTTTGTGCTCTCGAGGCCCTCCCTTTTGATGGTGTATTAAAATCCACAAAATGGCAAGGCATAACATTTGTGGATTAGTTTTTAGCCGAGTAATGTCCACTAACAATTGGCTTATCTTAATGGCGCATGCTAACTTTGACCCCCCTCTGCGGCGCCCCTGCCGCCAAGGCCGGGAACACAACAAAATGAAAGGAGAGGCCGCCATATTGCATCGGTTGATGGCCTTGTTGCCACCACTGCACACTGTGCGTATGCGTGATATGTGTGTTTTACGAAAGTTGGCGGGAAAGCCTTTTAAATGCAGGTCGTTAGCAGGGCCTCAATCAAAGCCAGATGGGTTATATTGGTCAGGGCTCATTAGCGGAGATCATCGGCTTCCGTGGGCGTGGAAACCATTTCCCGAAGAAGAAGTCACAGCCCACATTTAAGGGCAAATCACAGGCCAACACAAAAAACAAAGGAGCACACATAATGCTAATGTGTGTCTGCCTACATAAATATGCGAGCTGAGACAAAAGGCGGAAGCGGACACAATGGGCTCAACTTTAGGGCCAGGAACAGTAGAGTCGTTAAATGCCCACCTTTTATAAACATAAAACAATAGACGTACGTACATTTGGCCACGGAAACGGTGTGCAAATCTGTGGGGCTACCAGCTAGGGCATGGCGATGGAGCCTTCCCCCGAGACATGTCAAACACATAAAGAAGGCCAACGGGGATCCGGGGATCCGGGGGCCTCAATAACCGACCTGCACGGGCAAACTTGCGGATGCGGTGAGCCGACCACCAACCACCCATAATTGAATCTTTGGGTCGCGCACTGGCGCACATACAAGGCCAAATCCCAGCTTCCAAACAGGAAGGATAGCAAAAGCACGCGAAAAAATTAGCTTCAAAAATGTATCTCACTTAGGCATCTTTCATATATCACTATATCTTGCAAATATAATAATAAGATGTTAATTTATCATATGTTAACATATCTTATCATTGCAATTAAATTCTTAATATTAAATATTTATTTTATCCTGCAAAACATAACAGTGTATTATAAATAGTAAGCTAGTTTTCTTTCACTGCAGCAACCGCCAGGCAAATTATATTTAACTCGAAAAATAAGAAGCACTTTGGTTCGACGGTTTTGTGGGCGACAGGTTAATTTTTACAAGTTTCTTCCAATTCCAAAGGCTTTGCCTTAGCTGGATTTATCTGGCCCTGATTAAAATGCTTCAGTGTTCTAGTTGTAAGTTGTAATATCCAATATTGGCTTGTGGGCGGCTTTAGCCAAAAGCAATTGAAAAGGGATTTTGCGGAATAGGACAACACAAAATGAAACTGAATAAAGAAAATAGAATGTATCAATAAACATAAACGTATGCTATAAAATCCAGTTAACTATTCATAGTGAAAGCTCGAAAATGTCTCGTAATTTTTAATTTTTATTGCAAAAATGTAACAAAAAATGTCTTTTGATTTTTGGCATAAAATACACAGGATTCTAGGAATACTTTAGACTAATCCGAAAACGTACGCACAGATGCATATGTATCTTCAGTGTTGTATCCGACTAATGACCTTTAGATAGTGGATGAGGTGTTCGCCTATATTGGGCTTTATGTAGAAGATGCACTGCGATTGCCGCTGGATGCGGTCGTCGACATCCAGTTCATGCAGCTGGAGCAGATCGTTTAGCGAATCGTTGGCGATGCTTTGGAGTCGCGAGGCGTTCAGGAACTTCATGATGCGTTCATTGGTATAGTTGAGCTGCTAAAAGTATAGGTTTTTAATGTGATTGATTTAATACTTGCTGATTTACTACTTACCCCCTCTAGATCATCCCTCATCTCTGATTTCAGGCTCAAGTACAGTTTGGAGGGATCCTCGCGGTCCGCCACCACATCCACCTTGGAAACGGGGGAAGCGAAGGCCAGGTCCTCGCTGTCCGACTGCATGATGGCCAATACTGACGAGGTTAGGAACAGTAAAGCTGGCCGCAGCTGCGTGCCGACCAGCAGGGTGATTTCACAGAAGAACAGCATCTGATCGTGACTCAACTCCTCGGGCAGATAGCTCCAAATGCGATGGGAACTTCCATGCAGGGCGACGTTTCGCGTGAAGCTGGGCTCAACCTGCTGGGGCATGGCATTGAAGCCCACCGTATGCAGGACGCCCTGTCCCGTGAGGGCTAGCATTTCAGCTGCTCCACTGATGGGTTTCGTCAGGGCTCCCACAATGCCCTTGGTCAGGCCAGCGATGACACCAACAGAACTCGTCGCCTCCAGGGTGTGATGGGCCAATCCGCCGACAGCGCCGAGCAAACTAATGCCCAATCCAGTCAGACCTTGGGTCAGTCCATCGGCGAAGCCCTGGGGTCGAGCTCTGCGCCTGGCCTCGGTCAGTTCGATGTGCTCCGCATCCAGGGTCAGCCTGTCCAGATTCCGGGCCACTGAACCAGCCAGTTTGGTCACGGAGTTGACGGTTCCCGCAGTCACATTGCGCAGCAGCGAGGCAGAACCTTGGGTCACTCCCACCAGGAAGCCCCAAGGTCCGCGGAAGAGACCCTGAACGGGCATGGAGACAAAGTCCCGAAGACCAGTGCTAAAGGAGCGCGCCAGCCCACTGGGACTTCCCAAGATCTCCAGGGAACCAACGACCCAGCCGGCTCCGAAAATAGCTCCACTGAGATAATGGAGTCCCAGCGATTGTCCGAAGCGGAGGGGCACAGTAAGGATTTGTTGCCGCTCGTAGCGGGAAAAGGAGAGCGGAGAGTGATCTAAAGCTATGTAGAGCCTCGAGGATGTATGGACGGATAGCAGTAGACTCAGGGGCTCCACCGTAAAACTGTTAAGACGCAAGGGTTCCGATATGTACAGGGACTGGGCCACAACTTGGTCGGGCAGAAGGGTCGTTCCAGCAGGCAGAAGGATTTTATCTTGTTCCACGGGCGGACTATATACACAATGGGACGGTTCACACTCTACCAGTGCTTCCAGCAGCTGATTCAGATAGGCATCTTCGATATACACCCGGAAGGCGGGTATCTGGCATCGAACATTCTGCAGCTGCATTTCATCTTGGTAGAACACAAATGTGAATAGCGAGACGGGAGAGCGCTGTGCCTGCTGCTTGTATACACAGTCCAAGTCGTACACCTGCGGCAAACTGCAGTTACGTCTATACAGTTTCTCTGCACAGAGCAGCACCGGAAAATCGTATTTCCCACTCGAGTACAACTGGTTATCCACTTGAAGGTTTGGCAATTGCAAGTTCAGTTCCCGCTGATCATCGTCGTCGTCGTAGATTAGCATAGAGTCATCGGCATAGATATTGCACACCTCCGTCTTCAAATAATCACTTTCTCGGTTGTCCGTCTGTAGGCTGAACACAAAGCTCTTGATGAAGATTTTGATTCTCGTCTGTCTTTTGGTTTCGCACTCCTCGCTGAAGTGGGCACACGCCACCATATCCGGCAAAGGATCTTTAAATGAGTCCTTATCTTGCCCAAAGTTCTCATCTGATTCTGAAAGTCCCTGCTCTTGTAATGGAATCATAGCGTTCTCAGGCTTTTTTAAGCGGGATCTCAAGTCCTTTACCGAAAACTCCAGCTGCTGAGCTATATAGTAGATGTTGAGGCGAATAGCTCGATGTTTGTCGCAGACAACCACCTTCACATCACCGTGGTGGGGAACATGCAGGAATTTCTGCCATGACTTGTCAGTCCGAACGGGCTTTGACCAGGCGATCTTGTTTTTGGCACAGGGCTTATCTGAAAAAAAAAATATACCTTAACAAAATCTCACAAGAAAGCTTCAATAATTGCCCACCTTTATAAACAGCCAAGGATAAATTGCACATTGTGAATTCCACATCTGGAAAATTGGCGTACATCTGCGGTGGGGTATAATAGCATTTGCTTTGAGGCAGGACCAACTGATTCCACTCAAAGTGCCTGCCCACGAACTCTGAATTCGTGCAGCTCACATTGCTGTTTTCCGAAGCACTCGTTTGGGCCACAATAAACTTGACATTCGTATTGTTGCTTATGACAATAGCAGGTGACGTGTCCCGGAATACGCCCAAATAGTGAACATTGTCCTTTTCTATCAGGGTGATCATCAATGGAATGGACTCGTGGCCCGCCTGCAAACTGAAGCAGCGTCTGGTGAAGGGTATGGCCAAGGGAATGGGTATAGAGATCTCCCGATTACCACCGACACTGAAGCACACAAAATAGACGAATGCTGTATCACAGTTGTGCTTAGCTTTGTGGGCGTTGAGATCGTAGAAAACGTCCATTGCATTACCAATGCTACAAGAAAAGAGCAATTAACAACCTAATCCGAATATGATTATAGGTCCTTACCAGTTCTTGTTGGAATCCGCAGAAATAAGACTACGCGCGCTTTTGGCACTTGAATATGCTTCCACTTCATCTCGCGTGGATGTCTCCTTGTGATCCATGGCTAGAGGTAGGACATTCAGAACCACATCTGTAAAGTTGGTCAACACGAACTTTGATCGCAGTTTGAAGACTCGGCGACCGTCGTCTTCCTTCTTATATTCCAGTATCAGACGCATCACCTCGTCCCGCTCTACTATAACTATATCCACAAATGAATTGAACCGCAAATACATCGATCGCCCGGCGTTGTTGACCGTTTTTTGCGTAAAATCCTCCAAGCAAATCGGAGTTGAGGCGATCCATCCACTATCGCAGGGCACGTCAATTGTGAAAGCACTCATCAGCTTTGGCATCATTTCCAAACTGTTTGCCTTGAGTTCGATGCGTGCCTGCTGGTTGATCATAAAAATGCTCACGTCCAAGCCGGTTCCATTGATAAACATTCCCCAGGCAGACACCTCTAATCCCTGAGAGCACGAAAACTCCCTCGTCGCGTTTGTCCGGTACCTTACATCAAATGAATTTTTAAAATCCAATACGCGACTAACGCGTAATTCTTCCGGATCATTCAGTGGCCACTTGGGCTTCGCTGACTTGCCCAGCTTGTGCAGCGCATTTTCAATGGTCCAAATGTTAGGATCGTAATAAAGAACTTGTGCCAGTCCATTGTCCTCAACATGAGCGAATATTCATCTTTGGAGGAACCTCGTAAGACACCCCTGAAATTAGGTTTGCAATTTAAATTGAATGGATCAAAACTAGTTTATGATCTTACGAGAAAGTGAATGCAACGTTGTGCTCTGTAGCATGGGTGGTGGCAGTGTTTAGAGCCCATCTACCTCCCTTGGCATCAAGAATGGAGCTCTCTCCGCTGGTACTTTCAGTCGCCTGGACCTCGCAGCTGAGCATGTTGCATATCTCAAAGATCGGCCAAATGCAGACCAGTATCTTCTGAGGTTGAAAGTCCTCAGCCGCCTTCTCCATCACAATGTCCTCGCGCAAGATGCGCACCCAAATGCTGATGAACTGCTGCGCAGATTGCGTAGGCACCTTTACCAGCCAAGGCAAGTTATTGTTGGTCTTTAGTGGGATATCGCCAGTGCGACCCCTTCCAAGTCCAGCGGTCAACTTAAGCCTATAAAATCATAAATAGGATTTGAAGATCAATTTATAGGTATATACCACTTACCGCATGTTGATGTCTGCATTGCGCTTCACATTCTGGTAGTACGATGATCTTTCTTTGGACAGTATTAAATGCTCCGGTGGGTTGTTTTCTTCGTAGCTCATTGCCTCCTCTCTAAACTCTGTGATCAAATTAAATGGCACCATGCTAATCAACTCGATTTGCCCCTTAACCAAAATATATATCTGAGTGGCGGAAAGTTTTCCCAACTTGAGGGTTATACAGTATTCTCCCACTCGCAAATGATGAATCTTATGCTCGTCCTCGAACTTTAGTGCTATGTGTACGGAATCACTGGTCTCCACCAGACGGGTTTCGGGATTTGTTATGAAGAAAGTAAGTTCCTGTGCATGGAGCAGCTTCGGAAGTGATAGAGCTGCATTTCGCCAGGAGCCACCGGGATTTTCTCCACTGTGCCGGTTTGTCCAAAGCTAATGGGTGCCTGTATGCGGTTAACTATAACGCATTTGGGCATTAAGGCGTGTCGCAGCTCTTTCTGCTGCAGCACCTCCTGCCAGTGGTACTTGGAACTCAGCAAAGTATGGATCAGATAGGGTCCGCAGTTGAGCCTTAGCTTATCCACCAGAAATTAGCTTGCACCAGAGGGCGGGACAGTCGGTTAACTTACATAGCTTGTGAATTTCATGGGCTCTAGAACTCCAGCATGTTTAGGAATCCATAATCCAAGCACTTTACTCGGGTGCGCAACTCTGCCTGCAGACTAAATCTTTCCTTGAATAATGGTCGAGTGCATCTGTAGGTCCTCCACATGCACAGTAAGAAATGTCTGGCTGATATTGGTGGTCTGCTTAAGGTTGTACTTATTTAGCTGATGTGGGAGCTCTCCGGAGTTATCCGGCTGGTTCAGGAAGTTCAACTCGATATCCTGGCAGCAGAGCAACAACTGCAACTTGGGCACTTTTTCCGCCTTGAAGACTGTATCGATTCGCATGCAGCCCACTAGAACTTTAGGATGCAATATGAAATCGTTATTCTCGTCCACTTTAAAGTCCGACTGGAGGAACTCGATCTAAAAAGGTAGTTAATAATTAGTTGTTATTTATATTTATACATATTTGAAGACTCACCGATAGATCTTCATCTTCACTGCCCTCGAAGCATGTTCCATCCACAGAGATCAACGATTGCAATATAACCACCCTCCAAATAGTGGCACAAATCGGACGATCTGGGGGCGTTAGTTGTTTGGTGGAGGTCTCCGAGAGCAAAAGTCGCAGTAATGCAGGAATGTTTCGTGGTTTTCACTAAAGTACTCCATGCGACACCTGATATGTATGGGTCTGCTAACCTTTTTTGTATTAAGTATACCAGTTAATTCATTTAAGTTTCTTTATTTCAGACTACTTACTGGCATTGGCACCGGATATATGTGTATGCTCGTCATCTGGCGTGGCTGCGGATACCGCCAGCAGATGATGCCATAGTTTTTCTTGATGATCTGCACCTGGTAGGGCATGGGCAGTACGGACTCGGAGTTTAGTACACGAACTGAAAGGCGCCCGCTCTAAAATATTTAAAAAAAACAGATCAGTAAAAAATTAAACCAAGTTTCTTTTAAATATGCTACCTAAGTCATCCTGGTAAAATTCCGCATTTGATTTCAAGGGACGTTTCAGCCGCTCTATCGATTCGTGCGAGGGAGTACATTTAATCAGGTCATACGGAGAGACTTTTCAGGAGTGCCCAACACGGGACGATGGTGCAGAAACTGCTGCCACTCCTGGTCAGCGTGTTCACGTACCCGATTCATTCCATCCCGCGCCTTTTGTAGCTGCAGAATGCTCAGAACCCCCGCGTCAACGTGCAGGTAATTTAGCTTGAGCGTGGATTAATCAGCAGATCATCACACCACGGCTCACTGACCAAGTCCACCGACAAACGCATGAGCAAGGGATGGAGCAGCATCTTCCCTCCAGACTGCACATAGAAGGATCCAAGATTGGACCTTATAACGGCCTTTTGAGGACGAGTACTGAACTTAATGCGGGTGCTAAGATCGAGCCAAACGAAGCTGCACTTGTAGGTCCTTTCCTCATCGTAGAACTTGACAGTTATCCGATCGCAGGATAAGTGCAACCGATCCGCATTGTAGCAATTCGTCTTCATCTGGCGCAGTTGAGATCCTTCGGGCACAGGTCGCTGGTTACGAACCGCGAAGCAGGGAGTCTCGTGGAGCACCGTGTAGATACGGATCACATCAGTGGCCAATTGCTTGATGCTGCTCTCACATATTCTCAACAGGATGGGTTTCCTTAGCTCCACATCGACTTCCTTCTGCTGGAGGCGGTCATACTGGGTCTTAATCGTGAGCAGGGGAGGTGGAATCCCAGAGCTTCCAAGTTGGCCAGGTAATGTATCAAATACAGATTCGTTAAACTGTTCCAAATGTTCTCTATCTTCAGCCTCAACAGTCGCAACGCTTATGTTTATATTGAAAATTGAGGCTTGTGTTATGGTTGCCTTGATATTCTGAGTGGACATGAAGCTGGGCTGGGATACGGTAATCAGAAAGAGTGGTTTCATAACGGGCCTTTCCAGCTCCTCCAACTCCAGGACATTGTAGATTTTTAGTACGAATGTGCCGGCTACAAAGGATACGCTTTGCGGATAACTCAAGACACTCGGTTGACGTCCACTGCGATAAATCTCCTCCGACCCAAGCGATCTTGGGTTTCCTTTCATACGACTGCCCAGGTGGATTCCGGAGTCACTTTGGCAGGATCCGTAAAAGAAGTCACTACTACCTCTTGCGTCCGCATAACTCGAGTTTGGACTCGTTTTTCGTAATTTTTCAGTCAGCTGCTTTTTAGATGGTTTCCTACTCAGATTTTCCTGACATGTTTTGACAGCATTGGGATCATGGGGAAAGTACATCGAGTTGTCCACGCTGCTGTATTTTGATACTTCTCCCAGTATTTTGTGCGATGTGACTTTTGGCATCTCTGCATTCTTCACACAGACCTGATCGATTATGCAGCTTAGTCGCTGTAGGCGCACAATGATGCAGCTAATCAAGCTGATTTGGTGTGTGTTCAAGGAAGCCACAAAATCGGTGACGCAATTGTACTCCACACTTTGCCCGCAGACCAGAAAGCGATCGTAGCTTATTGCCGGTGCATATATCATAATGAAGTCAAAGTCTTTAAATATCTGCATGTGATCCAGTTCAGTGGATTGACTTTGGTTGTTCCACTCGAAGGCGGGATTGTCATGCTTGCTCGCCAAACTCTTCTCAATGCGATACTTCTGGGTTTGCTTCCAGTTACCGGTGGACAGGGATACCTTCCTAACACTGAGCTCATACTGACGATCCTCTACCAGGGCTCCCGGCGTACTAAGCATGTTGAGCTCCGCTGCTTTTTGGTAGACATCCGGACGCACAAGCTGACGCACTAGGGGATTTTCTAGACTCGGTGTTAGCTGAATGCCCTCTATCTGCAATATAAATATGATAAATCTTTAAACATTAGTAGAATTATTGCAGTACTAACTCTTAGCAGCAAGACACTGCAACTCTTTCTGCCTGTAGATAGAGGAAGATAGACATAGATTCCCTTGCTGTTTAGGTGCACCATTGGCAGATCTTGAACCGTTGTTATCTGGCTGGTAGCTGGTGCACAGGGTGTGTTTACAGGCTGTGCGGATTCGGAACTTCCCAAAATTTCCAGAACCTCGCATATGGGAACCATAAACTCGGTTATTTGGTCCAAGCTCAACACCATTTCAATCGGTTGCACCTCGATCAGCACCTCGGAGATGGTGTGCTGTTTGTTGTGCGGATTTCTCGCCCCAATCTTTGCATATAGATCCTGAAGACTGACAGTGGTTATCACCACACTGATTAAGGGTAAATTTGTGCTATCGCCCAACATTTTTATGTGAAAGTCTTCAATCTTTTCCCATTCTTGATGCTTCTCCTCGTAGTAGTTAAGGCCAAAGTTTTCTATTTTGGTGGTGATCTTGGTAAAGTCACTGTGCTTATCAATATTCAATAGTAAATCCTCCAGAACCATGACGATTTTACTGTGCTGCGAGTCGTTGGAGTTTTCCATTTCAAAGCTGATTCGAGGAATAGTCCATTGACAGAAAAACACAATAGAGTTTTTGGGAGCTAAGCGAAATAAGTGCATTGTAATAGATTTATATAATTAATAATATTTGATTCTTACCACTTTTCACTTGGGGTGCTTCGAAGTTGGGATCTAGCTCCAGAAACTCCTTTATCGCTGGATAGTTTTGTGCACTGCCTGTGTAGACTTCCAGTCGGGGCTTTAGTTTAGCTGTCTGCCATTTAGAAGGAGGTTCGTCCGGGTTCATCGAATAGTACATCTTGGAAAGAATCAAGTAGTGCTCATGTAACAATTTCACCTGGAAAGGAGATAATTAAATAAATAAATAATAAAAGTTCCATTAACCATTCCTCTTACCCTCTGAGCAAATATATTGATGGCCGACATGTCCACATGCACATTTATTGAGTAAGTATTTTGCTCAGTCGAGTCCGGAGACTTTGCTTTCTTCTCCTGATCGTTTGCTCCTCCGACTTTTCTTGCGTCGACTTTTTCGGATATTTTGTGAGATAGGGCCAAAGTAATAGTGGTCCTAACTGGAGCCACAATCATCTCTGTGACATCAGCTTTGCGGTAGCACACACTAAACTCGCTTAGGTCTAAGACCCAGTTGAAAAGCTCCGTGTTGTTGGCCACCGGAATAACTGCTCTGATGTTTCCTTGCTGAATAGCCTCGCAGTTGCCTGATTTTACTTTCATGTGGGGCAGTCGAATGGATGTATACTCTACATCCGTCTCCGCAGGGGATTTCCGCATCATTACCTCGCATACATCAATCTTGGCCTGAGCAATCTCCACCAGAACCACCATGTTGGTCAGCCGTTTCACGAGATCCGAGGCGTCGAAACTACTTGGCTGAGGCTTAATGGATACGGGTATGTTTACAGGCTCTACCTGGGTGTGTCTTTCATCCCGTTCTGAGCTCAAATGCACTGTCTCCTCGGGAACCGAGATCTTTCGACTATTGTTTCTGCTGATTCGACGTGGTTGATAATCATTCAAGGCCATCGCAGAGGCGGAAATAGTGGAATAATTCGAAACAGATTGGGTAAGAGGTGGCTCGGACTCGGATTCCGTTTCTAATTCTGTAAACAAGATAGTTTTATAATACCGCAAAACCTGATAGCTAGATGTACCACATACCCTTCTCTTTTGATTTTTTCTTTCCACTAAGATCCGAAAAGTTTAGAAACTGCAGCAGATAGATGTCCGTGGTGATGCGAAATGGTTCCAGCCAAAGGCACATTACTGTGCCGGGTATCTTTTCTAGCTTCGCATTGGCCTCCTCCAGGGGGAATTGAAGCTGCACCTCCAACCACTTATTGTTCGCGTTCTTCGATGTAGACAGCACTACATTTCGTACATTCATCTTGGTGTGGACGGCATCGGTGTGAATACCTTGGAGTGAGCCCACGGCAGCCAAATGGGTGTGGTACTTGTGGTAACTCAGCCCCAGTTTGGTGCCCACGCTTTGCAGTTTGATTACATCCGAATGGGCGTGGGCATGGGCTACAATGTGGGCCAGATCGCAGAGATCCGGACCATTAAAACTCGAGATCAGCGGTAGTAAACGCTTGGCGATGATCAGCTCACGCTTAGAGAACTCTAATGTTATGATCTCCGACTTGATTTCGGACGTCTCTAGAGCCGCTTCGTTCTGACGCCAGAGTTGAGGTGCCAGCAGGCGGTTCCAGTTTACTTGCATCCGTGGAATGTTCAAAAGCTTGGCCCGGTCATTATCCGGTGTTGTGTTAAGAATCATCAGCGCCAAGTTCTTTATGTTGAAGTTATAGCAGTTGTAGCAGGCATTGACCACCTCCCGAGGTTTATCCTGCAGATGAGTGATCAGTTGGACCAGGCGAAGGGGGTTTACTGGACCACACATTGTGCCCTCGACTAGAGAGATCTTCAGCTGCAGATATGGCAAGAGGGATTGCTTGACTGTGGTTGTCAGCTGGTGTTGATTGATTGCAGAATATTCTTCTTGCTGCTGGCGGGGATACAACTGGAGCACTATATTCCGCAACTCAATTTTGTAGTTGCACGTGGGCACGAGTCCCATCAGATACTCCAAATCCGGTATGGTCATATCGGCATTCCTGTTCTCCGGCTCGGGCGCACTGCGATCCTCAGCTTTTACCGATTCTGAATGATATCCCGGGTAATCGTAAGGACGAATTAAATCGCTAATTACATTTTTAACCTGCGCAAATGACTGTGAAAAGTGGAAGGTGATTCCGGCGGACAGGAGGCGATACTGGATGCGAAGTCCCAGGTCTCTCAGCTGGCTCTCCGCCACCGGATGGCTGGTTGGCCTAGGCACCCGGTGCTCGATAATATCAAAGGCCAGTACAGGACTGCGGTACAGCATATACTCATCCGTGTTCCTGGCCACGTAGTCCTCGTAGTTGTAGCTGCACCAGGAGCGATCCGCAAACATGTAGTTCTCGTCAAACAGACTCTTGTCGATGAAGGAGCGCTCTTCCTGGAACTGTGGAAAGTGGATATTAAGTAGTGAGCACAATAAATTATTTTGATATACTTACTTCCTGGGTATTTACCAGATTGCGGTCTACGGGATCTTCGCTGCGGTAAGCGCCCAATGGCTCCATGCACATGCTGGAAAGGCCCGCTTTCACGTTGGCCCAATCGCACTCCTTTAGCAGCGTCCGTTCGTAATAGAGTCCGCCTAGACTGATCCGCAGATGGGGGTATAGCGTATCCGCTTGATGCCACCCATGCTCTGGTCGGTGAAGTACTCAGAGTTTTTGAACTGGAAATTCAGCTCCTCGGCGTATATGCCCAAATCGAAGGCGTGACCGACAGGAGCATCACAGGAAGAGGAGGGAGCCTGGGGATCGAAGCTGGGCAACAGGTTCCACGCCCACCAAAACACGCTTTGACCAGTGGGTTCCGCGCCGTCCTGCGCCTCGTTGCCCTCGGCTACTGCCTCCCCCTCCTCCAGATTCTGGCGATCCTCCTCGCTCGCGGCTGGCTTTAGTTCAATCAGCATTTTCACCAGTCTCATTACCATGGGGAATTGCAGAGATGACACATTGATGTCCAGGGCCTTGGTGAAGACTCCTATGCGTGTGGTGCTCGAAGTGCTCACAGTATTGGCGTTGTACTTTCGGAGCACCCGACACTCCAGAGTGCAGCGGTAGAGCACCGGCTCCTGACACACTTCAATCCTGCCAGCCGTGTTCCGCTTATCCAGGCAGATGGTCAGATCGGAGACCTGAAGTAACTTGCGCATGACCACGGACACCGGGTGGATGTCCACCATGGTGGGCTTCCAGTTCTCGCCGGCAGAGCTGAAGTTCAGGGTCTGCACATTCATGGAGACCACGATGTCGTCCTCCACATACTTCAAGATGATGTTGTGGCACTGCAGGCTGATATTGTTGATGATCTTGTTGACCACGCTGGAGGAGCTAGCCGCTCCGGGGCTCTTGGGCTGCTGCTGCTGATCCGGCTGCTCCACGGAGGCTCGCTTGGAATTCCTTCGCTGCTCCTGCTGAAAGGAGGCCCGGCGCTGCTTGCTCTCGCTATCCGGCAACTTGGCCACGAACTCGATGGTGTTAATGACGATCTTCACCGGCTCGGACATTAGCTTCGTCCAGGGCACCTGTATGCTCAGTTCGTGGATGTGGCCGGAAACCAGCTCCACGGGGAGATTGAGCTCCTCCTCGAGCACCTCCAGGCGCAGGTCCAGGTTCTGGAAGGCCACCTCGCCCTCCCACAGCGACACCTGGGCATCCTCGTCGCGAAAGTTCTTCACGTACTTGGCCACGTAGCTCAGCAGAATGGGAGTGATGTAGGACTCCAGTTTGAACATGGTGTGACTCTGCTCCGGAGGCTCAGGCCTCGATTCCCGCGCTCTTGGCTGCTGCTGACTCAATTGGAACTCTTCATTTACTGCGTTGCCGGCGTTTTACTAGAATTTACATGCTGTGGATTTTGTTACGATTGTTGGCCGAATATGTTTTTTAACAAAAAAAACATAGCCACAGAATTTTTGATTGTTTACGTTTCAACCCCGGCAATCTGGCAATCGATAACGCGGACTGCCAATCGGCAATGGATTAATTGCAACGTGTAGAGAGGCCCTCTACGAACAGCTGTTTATTTTGTTGACGTTTAACGTGCGGCAATTCTCACAATTTCATCAAAATGCCGCAAATTACAGAAAATGGCCAGGATTTTGGTGAGTTAAATAAATGCATAATGTTTTGTTCACGGTTTATTAACTGTTTCCACCCTCAGATGTGGTCAAGTACTTCCTGCAGCTCCTCGAGGAGGATAAGGACCTTTCCTCCGGCATTGCCGCCATCAGGACTCTGCTTATGATCCTGGAAAAGAAACAGTGTATGTTGGCTACAAATTCGACTTTGTAGTTCATTTTAAACCTGTATAACCCATCCCCCAGTTGGCACCATTCACATCCTCCACACAACCATGAGGGAAGCGGTGGCCGCCATGCGGAACACGGATTTGTCCATTGCTGCCATTGTTTCCGCCGGGGAGCTCTTCTGCCGGTTCATCACCCTCAGTCTGGACGACAAGCACATGGAGGAGTGCCGCCAGATTATGTTGAACCGCGGCAAGATCTTTCTCACCAAGTTGCTCAACTCCCGGCAGGTATCCACTTCAATAAGAAAGCTATTCCAAGCACATTAACCATCTTCTCAATACAAACTTTATCCAGGTGATTGCCCAGCAGGCCCAGAGGTTCATCACCGACGGCTGCCGGATATTGACCCACTCCAGGTCCCGAGTGGTCCTCAAAGCCTTGATTACGGCCTCGCAGAACAAAAAGTCCTTCCATGTGTACGTAACGCAGGGCGGCACAGGAAACTCCGGGTGGGTTACATTACAATTTCCCCTGAAATACCCAATTATAAATACTTCCCATCTTTAGCGAAGAGATGGTTAAGGACCTGCATGCCGCTGGCATTGACTGTACTCTGATCCTGGACTCCGCCACTGGCTATGTGATGGAATCGGTGGACTTTGTGATGGTTGGTGCCGAAGCGGTGGTGGAGAGCGGCGGGATCATCAACCGCATAGGCACCTACACCATGGGCTTGTGTGCCCGCGAGATGAAGAAACCCTTCTACGTCCTGGCCGAGAGCTTCAAATTCAGTCGTCTGTATCCACTCAATCAGCGCGATCTTCCGAACGAATACAAGGTTAGTTCTTATGGAATTAATAATAGGAAATCCTCTAAAAGCTGGCTTCTTTGTAGTACTCCCGCAAGCATCTCAACGATGTGAGCAAGGTGCATCCACTGGTCGACTATACGCCACCTGTCTACATTACCCTGCTCTTCACCGACCTGGGAAGACTGACGCCCTCGGCCGTGAGCGACGAGTTGATCAAGCTCTACATGTAAATGGACAATAAAGATATTGCACTTAACTACGTTTGTTTAATTATGACTGACTACTTGAGATGGATAAATAGAGGCTCGATATTACTGAGTATATGTACATAAAATAAAGCTAGTTACTTCCGCTTAGGCCTAAAATTTAGATTGTGTCTTAGAACTGCATTTCCCGCGAGTAGTTGGCGTCGACTTCGTCCTCTGACCCCCAAGGATCGTACATTTCCAGGCTGTAGTGGGACGTTTCGCTGTTGTTGCCATCGTCGTTGGTGTACTCGCTGTTGTACTCCTCATCCGTATAGCTGTCACTGCCGCTCTCGTCGTCCGATCCGTGATCGTGGGCACCAAAGTGGTCGTCGAAGCCATCATCAGCATCCTCCAGATCGCTGGCGTTCTGGATAATGGAAGGTTTTATTTAGAATGGTTTGGAAAAACAGGATGAGGCTCTTGAATACTTTAACCTTTAAAACTTTTTGTATCTTGATTACTAGCTGCCTAAATGACCATCGTTTATCATTAAAATATCAGTTTTCAATGAGTAATTTAATAAACTAATTTTTTTTTGTAATGAACACATGTTCTGAGAATTGAGTAAACATTCGCCACAAACAGGTTTCAAAGTTCAAGTTCCAAGGAATTCAGTTCACCCAAGTATTGTTGCAAAACTCACAAATTGCCCGGATTGTATGTTGATCTCGATCTGCAGGCGGATGTCCATGACGAGAAATGCAGTCGTGACCATGATGGGAATGGTGAGACGAGATTTCCAGGCGAGATCCGTGAGGAACATGAAGACCTTGCCGAAAAGGGAGTCCATTGTGATTTGTTTAGTGCTCAGCCGGAGGCTGATCCCCCTCCTCTTCCTCCTCTGCTGCTGCTTCCTCCGCCGACTGCTGCAGTGCGTCGTGCTCCAATATGTGGAAGGTTTCGCCGACGTTTACCGCCTGAACGGGCAGCAGGTGTCGGTGGAGGCGACCACTCTCGATGGGGGCGTCTAGCTCGAGGAACTGCTCGAATATGGAAATGGGCACTCCCTCCGAGGAGAGTAATCCCCGCATGCAATCCTGCCGCTTGTCGCGCAGGTTGTCCAGCAGCTTGTTTCCCTTTTGCACCCGGGCCAGCTTCCGTTCTAAGAGAGATGGTTATTTAATGGTGATATGTGCTTTACTGGACCTTAAACCCACCTAGTAACTTTAGATAGTCGCTGGAATCCGGCAGGGGCTCGATTTTCACGTCCCTTTCCGAGATGCTCTCTGTTCCTGGGGGCGGGGGCGGGGTGAAGTTGTCCTCAAAACTGGTGCTCTTCTCCGCGGTCTCCGTGCTTCCTTGCTCAACTGTTGTGTTTTTCAAGTGCCAGGGATCGGCATTGCCAAGTGACATGTTTTACGAACCAAATAAACTTAAATCCCAAAAACTCCCTATGAAAATATTGTATTTTTTGTAGTGTGCCCGCTGTGATTGTCCCTCTAAAACACCATAACGCCTCGCAAAACCAGCCGGGTTAGATATTCGCACAACATCCGCAAGCTTATATATTTCGCGGGCTTCTTACTTAGACCTTAATTATATATTTTAAATCTAACTTTAGTCTAGTTTTAGTTTTTGGAAGATTTTAAGTTCTTTAATTTTTGATATGATAGCCTAAAGGTAGGACTTTATTTACCCGAAATAGTGAAAAACAAAAGAATGAATACACAAAACAATAAATAAATGAATAAATTAGCTAGTAAAATTATAAAATTGGCTAAGAATAATCCGCATAAATATAAATAATCCGCATCCGCATATTCACAGCCATTGAATTCCCGATTCTGTGGTATAAGTTTCCTCACCAAGAACGGTCACACAGCTTGAATCAACGTCACCAAGTGCACCATGGATGTTTCGGCTCTTTCGGGACCAAATTTTAGTCCTGCGGAGTGGATAAACGCCAACTACAAGAAGTTTGTGGAGGAGAATGGCCGGGACGACAGCGACGCCGCCTCCTCCTTCATCCGGAGCTACGTGGCCAAGCTACAGCTGTACATATTCAACGTAAGTAGATCACCAGCTGTTTTGTTCTCCATCCAAAAAATCTCTTATTCCCAGGTAAACAATGCTGTGGAGGAGTCCAGTCGCCAGGTGGTGGCCAGCATGCCGAGGATCGCCAAGGAGTCGGCTGCCCTGCAAGGAGACGTCCGCCGGCTGCAGGAGAAGATGAGTGCCATGCGCTTGGAGGTGGCTGCGGTGCAGAACGAAACCGGCGAGTGCATGGCCACCTTGGAGCGGCTCAACACCAAGAGTCAGAAGCTCCAAGTGGCCAAGGAGTCGCTACAAGAGTCGGATGGCTGGGGAAATCTCCTGGCCGAGCTGGAGGATGGTTTCGAGCGCAATGATCTAAAGGTGCGTGGAATGCCAATCATATATTACAAATTGTATTGTTAATTCTTAACTTCCAGGGAGTCTGCGACAAGTTGATAGCCCTGCAAAAGTCGCTGCACGCCCAGGAGCAGTTGCCAGGACATGCCGAGCGACAGACCCAAGTGGAGGACTTCAAGAACCGCCTGGAGGCCCTGGCCTCGCCCAGTGTGGTTCAGTGCTTTGCAGAGGGCAATACGGAGCAGGCCCAGCACTATGTCCAGATCTTCACCAGCATACAGCGGCTGCCGCAACTCCAGCAATATTACCGAGCTGTGCAGAAGAACTTTTGGCAGCAGCAATGGAAGCAGACTCTGGAGCTGCAAGGCACGGACCACTCTCAGCAGCAGCAGCAACAGTTCCTCACTCTCTACTACGATCAGCTGCTGGAGCACTGCCAACGCCAGGTCAAGTGGTGCTCCAATCTCTTCGGCGAGGACAACTTACAGCCATTTCTGGTGATTGCTGAACTTCTGCCGGCATTGCAACCCACGAGGGATGCTCATATCCTACAGCTTTTAAAGACTTCCAATGAAAGATTAGAGATGCTGGCCTTGTTCGCCCAGGTGAATCACAGTTTTGTGTTGCACTTGAACTCCTTGCTGGAGCAGTCGCACATTACGTTGTCCGAGGAACTGCATCGCCTTCTAGGCGAGGCGATTTTTGAGTATTTCCACAAGTTTATTCAACATATCCGCGCTTGGAGGAGACCCAGCTATCCACGCAGGTACAGAAATATGATCTTTAAGTTATGTTGAATTCTGTTTAATAGTTTTATACCAATTCAGGTGGATCGCCTTTCATCCAATCAGGCCACTCCCAGTGACGGTGTGCGTCATCTGGAGGAGAGTACACGGAAACTTTACGAGTGGCTAAAAGAGGCCTGCGAACGCTGTGCCTCGATAACCAGTGACTTGGCTCTTTGTAAACTCATAAACCTGCTAAACGGCATCTTCAAGCGACAGCTGGAGAGTTTCGGACGCATCCAACGACAGATTGGACTCAGTCTGGGATCCAGCAGTTATGCAGCACAGAGTGAAAACTGGTCTCTGCTGCAGTACACCATGTCGCAGTTGCAATGTCTGGCCGACTTTCAGGTGCAGCTGCATCAATTTGAACAGGACTTGCACACACGCATGGTGTCTTTGTCCAACAAGCTGACCAAACCGTCTAATCGAGGACCCATCACCATTTTCCAGACCTGCGATCATGCGGCTCGCACGCAGCTGTTGAACAGCATAGCAGACTTTCAGCAAAAGAAGTCGGAGGCCACCGATAGCCTGGGTATCTTTCCACAGATTTATGCCACTTTAAAAAGTCACTTTGCCGATACACACGACATAACGCTCAATATATTACTGCAGCCCATTGAGACCCACTTGGCGCACATTCGCCCGCCTGTCCAGGATCACGCTTCGTCAGGCATTGATATGCCCTCATTCAGCTTTGCCCCGCAGGAGAGCATCACCCAGATCGGTCAGTACCTGCTCACCTTGCCGCAGCACCTGGAACCGCTGCTGCTGTCGCCATCATCTTTGCTGAAGCAGGCTCTGGAGGTGTGCAACATTAAGTATACCCAAGCCATTCCCTGTGCCGACGTCCTGCTCTCCCTGGTTGTGGAGCAGTGCTGCGTTTTGTACCAGGCGCAGATTCTGCAGATTAAGTCGCTGCCCGCCTCCTCGGCCACTCAGCTCAGCGTGGATATTGAGTACCTTTCGAACGTGCTTGAGGAGCTCGGCTTGTCCATCAACCTGCAGTTGTCCCAGATCCTCACGCTGCTAAAGGCTGCTCCAGATCAGTACCTCACCCTCAGCAGCGGGTGCGAGCCGCGTCTGGTAACGGCTATTCGGCAAATGCGCAATATTATATCTACTCAGTAGATATGAAATAGGTATATTAAATAATCGAACTAATATATTTAAAATGTATTGTACTTTAAACTATACTGTTGGCCCTAATTTACTCAAAACCTGTTTTTAATGTTACTCTATTTTTAGAGTGACACATGCTTTCTTTCTAAAAGTAATAGGTACAACAAAGCGAACTCAAATGTTTAATCAAGTGTCGGGAGACTACGGCCAGTAGTTTGGGTTGGATTAGTTAATTGCAAAATGCCGATCTCAATTTACTTATTAACCAAGCTGACTCAGTTCCAGAATGTATTTCTTTCATTTCGCTGTTCGACGAGCGCATTTTAAATGGTATACGGCAAATACCGCATCAAGAATCGGAATAATTCTTACCGGGATTCTCTCAGTCGGCGTAATTGCTATTACCTATATTCAGTGCAGGGCACTGATAAGGCAGGCGTTTCAGGAAAATTTGGCGAATGAAGTGATATTAACGGAGGAGATTAATCCCGCCGAGGTGCGAGTAAAGATTAAGGAGATGATGCTGCACGCCTGGCGGAATTATGCTCGCGTTGTATGGGGCACCAATGAATTTCGCCCGATTTCACGACGCGTACATGGCGGCAGTGATTTCGGGTCCTACAAACTTGGTGCAACCATTATAGAGAGCTTGGACACTCTGTATATAATGGGTCTGGAGAAAGAGTTGAAGCGTTCTCGAGATTGGATCGAGAAGTCATTCAGCTTGGATCGAGTTGATGAACCATTGCCCGTTATAGTGCTAACATCCAGGTTGCTCTGTCCCATGCTAACACTCTACTCCCTCACTGGAGATCTCCTGTACAAGGATAAGGCCGTTCATATTGCCGATAGGATCCTGTCTGCCTTCGACACGCCAACTGGAATACCCAGGCGACTAGTGGTTCCAAAGAAAGGCAGCACCCTCTCAAGGTATCTGGATGACGTGTCTCGTACTTCGGAGTTTGGAGCGCTGTACTTGGAGTTCTTTTACCTCAGTGAAATCACTGGAGATTCAGTTTACCTGGATCAAGTTGATGGAATTCGGCAAAGGATTGAGGAGGCAACCAAGGTCAAAGGTCTGTATCCCAATGCCTTTTGCACAAAGTATGGTACATGGGAAAACCACAACTGCTCGGTGAACCGATATTATGACACACTCCTCAAATCATGGATGCAATCCGGGGAAACAGATTCTCAAAGCGAAGATCTATTCGAGGACGCCTTGCTGGCTGTAGCTCAAAATCTGGTTGTCATAAACGACGAAGATGTAACCTATGTAACGGAGATGAGAGATGGTTCTCTAAGCCATCGGATGAAACAGTCGGATTGTTTTGCTGGCGCTCTCTTTGCCCTGGGAGCAGCAGCAACCTCGATGGAGCACTGGGAGAAGTATTCCGAGATCGGCATCGGGATAGCAGATACTTGCCATGACATGTTTTGGGAATCTCCTACGGGATTAGGTCCGGATACATTTGCATTTACGAAAAAAAGCCAGAAGGAAATTCTCCCCCTTCAGAGAAACTTCTATATGTTACAACCAGAAGTCGCGGAAAGCTACTTTATACTCTGGCGACTGACCCATGATGAAAAGTATCGCCTTCGGGGCTTTGAGCTTCTGCTGGCAATAGAGAAATACTGCCGGACGCCCAATGGATATACTGGTATCATGGACGTCAATAACAGTTCTCCGGAACCGGATGACGTCCAAAGGTCTTTCTTTTTGGGCGCGACCCTCAAGTATCTGTTCCTGTTGTTCTCCGATGATGATGTGATTCCCCTGGAAAAGTGGGTTTTCAACAGCGCAGGACATTTTCTGCCCGTTAAGGGTGTAAATTCATTGTATCGTCAATATAATTAATAAAAATCCATAAAAACTAAATATATATTTTTCAAGGAATGTAAGTAACAAAGTAGTAGTAAGAAGTTTTTAGTATTGTTACTACTTTTCAGAAAAATATATATTTAGTTATCACAGTTTATTATTTAGTTATAATAACCACATATTTATTTATAGTTTTTCTTTTAATGCTGACATGTATAAAAAAGTTTTGTAAATTACAAAAGTTATTTTCTAGTTAGCTGGAAACACACACATTGAGCACACCTAAAAGCACATACATAAATGATAAATTCCGAACGTTGGCCCACTAAACCGTAAATCCTGGGGTCTAGAATCCGGCATCTAGAGCTGACTGTTGGCCAGGTGATTGTCTATGACCCCCTGGATGATCCTCATGCACTGCCGTTGCCTGGCCACCGTGTTGTCGATCAGCTGCTCCGTGAACTGGCTGGCCGCTATGTTCGTGTTGGGTGGGATGTCCTGCGTGCAGGATATGTACTTGTTGAAGATCTCCGTGTTCAGAGAGGTGGCCAGGTAGTGTTCGGTCTCCTCCAGCTGCTGCAGCTTGTCCAGATCCTGGGCGGACGCCAGTAGCTTGCCCTTGGCCTTCTGATACGTTTGCAGCTCCTGCAGGCTGGCATATTCGGCGCTATTCAGCTTCACAGATCTCTCGCCGTCCGCATTCTTAACTACGCCCTTTGTCAGCTGGCGTATGTGGTACTTGCGCTCGGCCACAAAATTGCCCAGCAAGTATCCTGCCGAAACAAATGTGACTCGTTAGGGAGTGTCCTCCGATTTCATGTAGTGCATCCCCTGGATCCACTTACCTGATATCAGCATGAAGAAGGCAATCGTTAGGACCAGGGAGGCACACGTGCGCTTGGAGACGTATTCGCGGAATTCGCGGGAGCTGTTGGCCCGCACCGCCGTCTCGTAGCTAAGTACCTGGTGCATCCTGAGGATTCTCTGGGGGATTATAATCTAGGGCTTTCTTGCCTGACCTAGTCACTTCGTGACAATCGATTGTGTTGTTTGGTGCTGCCTTGGAACATTTTGGTTTCCTCTATTGTACTTTTGGTGGAAGCGTCTGTAATGTTGGACATTATAATAAAATATCAGAAACTAAATATTCGAAAATGACTTATAACTGCACTATGTGAATGAGCCCAACTACATTGATAGCTTTTTTTTGATATTAAAAAAATGCTCACTGATAGATGTCGTATCTATAGATTTACTTGTAGATTGATATTATAGGAGATAATTTAGATTATAAGATAAATGGATTATAAATTTAAATAAAACATACATAATATGTATGTACTGTAAGAAAACTTAGAAAGGCCACCATTTTTACTATGTGATCAATTCATATTTTGATCGTATCTTAATCTAATTATGATATTATGAAAACAAAAACTTCGCTTGATATCGAATGATTTGACGATATTTAGTTATAACACCTCTTGCCCCTATAAGACAGGAATCAAATCAAATTCCTCAAACTTTTAGTTCCGCATTAAAGCCACGATGTCATTACTCCCAATGAAAGGACTTGGCATGATGATGCCGCTGATAGGGCAAGAGCGTGACTTAATCGCCCCACCTTAAAAGGTAATCGCGGGCCCTGTTGTTATGGGCATCGTGCACGGCAAACAACACTATCCTTTAAAACACTTCTTCGAACATCCAGTCACTCACTCGGCGTAAAGGGTATATATCGTGTATCCTCTTTGTACTTCCAGGATATTGTGCACATGCATTAAATTAATTAATGCCTGCACTTTTGTTTTTTTCTTTTGCACTGCCTGTAGGAATCGAGTTGAATACCATGGATGTACGCGCGCTAAACTTTTAATTGTATTATTAATTGTTCGGAATACTCGTGGGAGGTCCTGGGCGTTATCCTCGCGAAAGGGGTCTGAATGCCTGGACGCCAAGTCGGGAACTGAGTCACGATTCGTTGGGGGTCGCCTTTAATAGCTCTCCGCTCCGTGTGGTGAGTTTCCTGCCCCGAGATGTTGCACATTTCGATTGGGAAACGAGAGTACGGCGGTCAAGTGGAAGCACGGAGAATGCAAACATAAACATTCCCCATAGAATCTTAATGACTGGACTAGTCCACCCACTCCGTTTGTGGCTTTCCTCAGAACTTGTATCGGATTTCACACACCATCGTCGCTCTTTAGGATGAACTGCACTGCACCAGAGTTCCGAAACTGGACTTCCCTTTTGATTGCCATAATCGTATTTTCTTTTCTGTCCCCCAGTTCCTCTGGTTCTTCAAGGATATCACATGACCCTCGAGGGAAATTTCTATGCCGGAGGGTTTAACTGGGTTTCATGGCTGTATTGTCATTAAAAAAGGAAATAAAAATATTTACTAAAATATCTATCTAGCATGCTTGTAGTATTTTTCATTCACGATGTGTTCGTATCAGCACCCCGCTTTTGTTGTTTTGTTTTTAAGTACATCTCAACTCATTCTATCAGTCATTCAGTGGAAGTACTAACTTGGTGGTATAAATCAAAATTTATTGAATTTAATCAAACACTTTATATGTGCATTGATAATGAGTTCAGTCAGGCTATAAAAACTATGACCACCATGGGAAGTTTTTTGGGTACCAAAATGAAGGCAGTCCTAATCTTATTGGCAGCTCTTCGGCTCTGCACTAGATTGTCCACCCACGGGATCTGAAGGTCGAGCATCACAGCATCGGGGTCGTATCACCAATGCAATGAGGCATACGTTCCAATCTTGGCCAATCTGAATACTTAAACTAAGAAATAGAACATAATCTGCCATTTTTCTTTTGAATAATAATCTTGTCAAACACTTAGCTGAAATAATTGCCAATATAAATCAGATTTTTCATTGATAAAAGCCACTGAAGTAGCGGCACATGCGCGATAAGATTTGGCTCTTTAAATTTACATCGATAATGATTTGGGTTGGGCTATATAATATTCGGACCACCAATGGAGCGATTTAGTCTTCGAAAATGAGGGGTCTTATACTTTTGTCGCTTGTGGTTTCCCTCGGGGTCTGTAGCGCCCTTAAGGTTTCCCACTCGGCAATCCACCCGCGGGATCTTGAGATTCAGCATGGGTGGAGCATCGAGGGTCGTATCACCAACGGAAATCAGGCGAGTGAGGGTCAGGTGCCCTATATCGTAGGAGTTAGCCTTAACAGCAACGGAAACTGGTGGTGGTGCGGGGATCTATAATTGGACACACTTGGGTACTGACTGCGGCCCACTGTACCGCTGGGTAGGTTTATAAATATAATATCAAATATTCCATTAATATATTTTAAATCTTTTCAGTGCCGATGAAGCTTCACTGTACTACGGTGCCATTAACTACAACGAACCTGCCTTCCGACACACGGTCAGCAAGGAGAACTTCATCAGATATCCCCACTACGTTGGACTCGATCACGATTTGGCTCTGATCAGGACTCCCCATGTGGATTTCTACAGCCTGGTCAACAAGATCGAGCTGCCCAGCTTGGATGATCGCTATAACTCCTATGAGAACAGTTGGGTTCAGGCCTCCGGCTGGGGAGCCATTTACGATGGCAGCAATGTGGTGGAGGACCTGCGAGTGGTGACCTGAAGGTGATCTCCGTGGCGGAGTGCCAGGCCTACTACGGAACGGAGACGGCCTCCGAGAACACCATCTGCGTGGAGACTCCGGACGGCAAGGCCACCTGCCAGGGCGACTCCGGTGGTCCTCTGGTCACCAAGGAGGTGATAAGCTCATCGGAATCACCTCGTTTGTCTCCGATTACGGCTGCCAGGTTGGAGGACCTGCTGGCTTCACCAGGGTCACCAAGTACCTGGAGTGGATCAAGGAAGAGACTGGCATCTATTATTAGATGCTTCAAAGGATACAATTTTACTTACTTCTCTGGAAAATAATTAGTTTAAAATAAAGTGATTTATTCACTCCATTCTTTGATTTATTTTAATAAGTAGACCTCGGATTATACTCATAAGACCTTTCTAATCATTCGATTCCAAGCAAACTGTGGATACAAACCCTTCTTCATAAAATGTAATTTAGAGTAATGAGAAATTTTATGTTTGATCAAAGTTTCCCTAAAAAAGCAAGTGTACTTTTTACATGTTATATTAAAGTTGGATCAATAATTATCTAGACATATCGTGTTTAAAGTGTTTCCTATCATATATTTAAATGTAAAGAACTTGAAAACTGTTACCTTCCTAGTACTCTTGGTATTATTGACATCTATAAAACAGGTTGCAAATTAGCCACACGTCATTCCACTTCAAATGTGGCCATAATTTTAACAAAGAATGCACTTGCGGTTTGCTTATCAGCCGGAAAGACTGGACACGATGATAACTTGATCAAAATTTACAGCCTTCGAGTTTTACATACGAGTAGTAATATACTACTAACTACTAATAATAACCAAGCTGATCCCCAATATGAAGAGCCACAACCCACCAAGGATCAAGTAGGAAACTCACACTGTTTCATGTGCTATGTCGTTTATTAAAGAACCCAGATAGAACTGGGATCACATTAACCTTCTTAGTTGGAGATGCCGGTGTTGTCGCTGATCCAGTCGAGGTATCCGGTGACGCGGGTGAAGACGGCCGGGTAGCCGGACTGGCAGCCACTGGCGGAACCGAAGGAGGTCACTCCGACCAGGCGGTTGCCCTCGTGCGTGACCAGGGGGCCACCGGAGTCGCCTCCGCAGGTGGACCTTCCTCCGTCGGTGTTGATGCAGATCATGTAGTCGTGGAGGGACCAGTAGCGGCTGCAGTCGCTGTGGGACATGATCTGGACATCCACGCTCTGGAGCCAGTCGGGGAGTGGGCTGCCGTCGTAGGTGCCGCCCCATCCGGAGGCCACGGCCCACCAGTTGGCGTAGTCCTGGTAGCGGTCGTTCTTGCTGGGCACGTCCACCTTGTTGACCAGGCTCCAGAAGTCCACGTGCGGGGTGCGGATCAGGGAGATGTCGTTGTGCAGGTTGCCGCTGTTGTAGTGGTGGTGCTGGATGATGTCGCCACTGCCCACCCAGTGGGTGTACTGCGGCTGGGTGCGGATGCTGGCTCCGTAGTTGATGGTCACTCCGTTGGCGCCGTTGGTGCAGTGGGCGGCGGTCAGGACCCAGGTGTTGCCGATGATGGAGCCTCCGCACCACCAGTTGCCGCCGTTGCCGCTGAAGCTCAGCCCACGATGTAGGGCACCTTGCCCTCGTAGGCGGGTAGCCGTTGGTGATGCGACCCTGGATGTCCTTGATGGGCACCGGGGTCAGCTTCTGGGCGGGAGCGGGCACAGCCGTAGCCGCGGCCACGGCCAAGGCCAGGAATACGAACAGTTTCATCTTGATCAGTCGTACAACTTATGAGGGATCCAAAACCCGTCAGCCCTTTTATACGAAACAAGCCCGGGTCTTATCTCACTTATGTATGTAAAACTCGAGGACTGTAAATTCACTTCATTTTTCGCAAGTGCCAAAAACTTAAAGGGAAACAATAACAAACAACAAACAGCTAAACTTATCAGTTTCTTCAGTGATTCGACAAGTCGGTTGACAATATCATAAATTTGGTTTTAATTCATAAAATCATTATCTGAGGAAGTACATTTAATTTACACAGCTTGCCAGCTTGAACCATGGAAATGTCTTATCTGAAATTGGCTTTTTATTATCATTAAGATAAGCTTTGAATTTTATTATATGCACATAGATTCCCATAGGAGATAGATTTTAGCCCACAATCTTGGCGTTTCCGTTGTGGAGACAGTGAAAGTGCAACCTGCTACAAAAAATCGAGGCAAAATGAGCTCTTTCCCTTTTTTCTCGTGCCGTAGAGAAAATTGTGCACATAACTCACGAGGGCTCTTGAAAGGCTAAATAAGGCAGGAGTTCTGTTGGAGGCCAATGTATCATTGAGTGCAGCAGCATGATGCACTGGGAAAAATCATAATCCTATTAAGTTGGTGTATATAAACAGTAAACACCTTGATAATATTACCAGAATTCCTTCGCACATACTTTCAGTTATGCCCACTAATTAATTTGCACTTAATGAGTTTCCATTCGCAGCCGTGGCTTTAATTTCGAAATTCCTGGAACACCATTTCCTTCCCTTCGAGAAATGTGAGCAGGGTGCATTGGCCCCGCTGAAAACCCCGTACAAACTTGAACACGTACGATGCCATTCCCATTCCCATTCCCATTCCCTGTTCCATTCCGCCCGGAGCCCCATTGAACCCCTTTTCCACCTTTCGAACACACATCCATCTCAAAGGACGCTCCTTGGAAGTGGGTTTGCTCCTTTGGATTTGACTTTGCCTTTGCCTGGCATTTAACTCCAAGTACATTGACATACAAAGAGGCTTCAGCATTGAAGGTTCAAGATGTTCAGCTGCCAAGGACGAGTTGGGATCTCCCAGTTGAGTTCCCCGATGTCCCTTTCCCCGCATGGATTAATCAATATTAATCAATCACAAAGTCGGAATCACTGACCCAGTGGCAAAAAACCATCGCATTTCTGTAAAACCCGACTGTTAGGAACAAGTGTGGTGTGTTTTGTGGGTTCTGTTGGATCTGTCGGTTAGCCAAGAGCTTAAAAGCTTGACTTTTCACTAGTTTTATGGACTGTTAACGCCGTGCAGTCGGAATTAAAAATAGCTTTCTTATAAGGTAGGTTTTATTTAGCCAGGTTTATAATTGTGTGCCATTTAAAATTTAGGTAGTACGATTTCCTGTTAAGTTTTAGGCTTAATTGTAAATAGCTTATGGAGTCAAGAAATAAATTTTAATGAATATTAACAACCTACTTACGTACCCTTTTTAATAAGAACTAGACATTCGGGGTGCCACAGAAATCGCAAGGTTTTTAAAAACCCTTATGTGAAAAAGGGTGTCAAAAAAGTTAATTTAATTCAATCAAAACACTCAGACACCCATTGCAGACTATAGATTTTCAGGCATCAAAGCGGTTTGGTCTCTTTGCTAGGGCTTCGAAAATCGAATATAATGCGCTGCTCACTCATCACGTGCCCTGCAGCTAAAAAATAGACCATAAATTCCTCAGCTAAAATCGCAAAATCGGTTGCTGCCTCCGAAATGCAGCCCCACAACTACCAAATGGTGGTCAAATGGGCCCATTGACTTGTGTTCTTCCCCCAACACATTGACCGAGTTTTAGCCGAGTTTAGGCACTAATGTAATTAGTGGAATATAGCCACTAGTGGCTGCCACTTCTGCTCAGTGCAACGCGGCTAATTGGAGACTAAACATCGTCACAATGGAACACTAAAGGATACAGTGCGCGAAAGGATTAAGTGCAGGACTCCTCTCGCAGGAGCAAGGATATAGATTTATATCCTTTAGCTAATATATTGTGTGTGAAATGTGAAGTGACCGAGTGGTTCTGAGTTCGCATAGACCAATAAATCGGTAGCAACATGGGTAGCAACACGGAATCCGATGCCGAAAAGGCATTGGGCTCTCGCCTGGATTACGATTTGATGATGGCCGAGGAGTATATCCTCAGTGATGTGGAGAAGAATTTCATATTGGCCTGCGAGCGTGGTGATCTGCCGGGTGTCAAAAAGTGAGGGTGTATTACGTGGATTAACGTGGTCTTTGAGTAATAAACGGATTATCCTTGAAGGATTCTCGAGGAGTACATGGGCACGGACAAGTTCAACATCAACTGCACGGATCCCATGAATCGCTCCGCTCTGATTTCGGCCATCGAGAACGAGAACTTCGACCTGATGGTGATCCTGCTGGAGAACAACATCGAGGTGGGCGACGCCCTGCTCCATGCAATTTCCGAGGAGTATGTGGAGGCCGTGGAGAACTGCTGCAGTGGGAGGAGACCAACCACAAGGAGGGCCAGCCCTACGTGGGTAATATCCATCCTTCTGATGCTCGGGGGACTTATTTCTGATCCTTTGGCAGAGCTGGGAGGCGGTGGACCGCTCCAAGTCCACCTTCACCGTGGACATCACGCCCCTTATCCTGGCCGCCCACCGCAATAACTACGAGATACTCAAAATCCTCCTGGATCGCGGGGCCACGCTGCCCATGCCGCACGACGTCAAGTGAGTACGATGTCCTATATAGAGATGTCCTTTATAGAGATGTAGTGGGGTTGATGTGGTGAGCTCCTCGTCCTTCGGAGTCACGTTCCATTGTTTGCCCAACTGGCATCCCACTCATGTAGCAACTCGCTGGGTACTTCTAATTATACCTAATTGCGGGCAAATAAGGGTGGACAATTCATACAGGGTTGAGGATGTTTGGGGGAAAGGAGTGTAATTTTAGGATTTTTGTAATTTCTACTAAAGTGTCATTTGAGTGTCCTTCAATTAGGGTTTATAACTGCCTCAAAGAATTTACAGTTCTCTTAAATATTTTTCTTATTTTCATGCCTGTTTGGTTGTAGTTTTTAATTGGATGTAAACAAAATTTCCTGGAGGAAGGGATTTCTTATTGCAGCTGCTTTCTAAATTATTTTTTTCATCGAATTTTGCAGAAAATTGTCTGCTGTAATATAAAAGGTCCTTTGAATGCACTTTTAGTTTCCTTATTCCTAAAGTCCTTATATCTTCTATTTAAAGATTCGGTTGAGTGTTAAAAAAAAGGCAGCTAAAGTTTTTCTGTCCTTAGAATTTCGGAAGGTCCTTTAAGCCACCTATCCTTAGATATTTCTTTATTTTCATATTGTCAGTCTCTTTAAGGATACCAAAGCGTTCTAGGACATTCGAATAGAATATAATATATTTTATATTCCACCAGGTGCGGCTGCGATGAGTGTGTGACCTCCCAGACGACGGACTCCCTGCGCCACTCGCAGTCGAGGATCAACGCCTACAGGGCACTCTCGGCCAGCTCGTTGATAGCACTTAGCTCTCGGGACCCTGTACTGACCGCCTTCCAATTGTCCTGGGAACTGAAGCGCCTGCAGGCGATGGAATCGGAGTTTCGTGCCGAATACACGGTACGCTAGTTGTACTATATTATTCAATGTAAGCGCTGCTCCCAGTGCTGAATGCGAATGCGAATGCCTTTGTTTGTGTTTGCCCAACAGGAGATGCGTCAGATGGTGCAGGACTTCGGAACCTCGCTTCTGGACCACGCACGCACATCCATGGAGCTCGAGGTGATGCTCAACTTCAACCACGAGCCGTCCCACGAAATCTGGTGTCTCGGCCAGCGACAGACTTTGGATCGATTGAAGCTTGCCATTCGATATAAGCAGAAGACGGTGGGTTTGGGTTAATTTTCGATTAAAAGACTTTATTTACTAAAAAGAAGAAGGGGTTTTATAGCAGATATATATTAATACCCTACTTATTAATAAAGGACGCTATTAAATATCATTAATTATCCCGTCTTAGTTTGTGGCACATCCGAATGTCCAACAGTTATTGGCCGCCATTTGGTATGATGGACTACCAGGATTCCGGCGCAAGCAGGCCTCCCAGCAGCTGATGGAAGTGGTGAAACTGGGTTGCAGTTTCCCCATCTACAGTTTGAAGTACATCCTGGCCCCGGATTCCGAGGGGGCCAAGTTCATGCGCAAGCCCTTTGTCAAGTTCATCACGCACTCCTGCTCCTACATGTTCTTTTTGAGTGGGTAAAGTCGGGGTATTCCCCAAATCATTTATGTAATTACCCTTCCATCCTCAGTGCTTTTGGGTGCCGCCTCATTGAGGGTGGTGCAAATCACCTTTGAACTCCTGGCCTTTCCCTGGATGCTGACCATGCTGGAGGATTGGCGCAAACACGAAAGGGGTTCCCTACCAGGTCCCATCGAACTGGCAATCATCATGTACATAATGGCTCTTATATTTGAGGAACTAAAGTCACTGTACTCGGATGGCCTGTTTGAGTATATCATGGATCTTTGGAACATAGTGGACTACATATCGAATATGTTCTATGTGACGTGGATTCTTTGTAGAGCTACCGCCTGGGTTATAGTTCATGTGAGTTTGTATATTACTAAACAACAAACTCATAATACATCTATGGGTTTTCCTTATAGCGTGATCTCTGGTTTCGAGGCATAGATCCGTACTTTCCCCCGTGAGCACTGGCATCCCTTTGATCCCATGCTTTTATCGGAGGGCGCCTTTGCTGCCGGAATGGTCTTTTCATATCTGAAACTGGTCCATATTTTCTCCATCAATCCCCATTTGGGTCCGTTGCAAGTTTCACTGGGTCGCATGATAATCGATATTATAAAGTTCTTCTTTATCTACACACTGGTGCTGTTTGCCTTTGGTTGTGGTCTCAATCAATTGCTTTGGTACTATGCCGAGCTCGAGAAGAACAAGTGCTATCATCTGCATCCCGATGTGGCTGACTTTGATGACCAGGAGAAGGCCTGTACCATCTGGCGAAGATTTTCCAAGTATGTGGTCGGTTTTTTTAAACTCATAGTATAATAATAACCCTACTTATATACCTTTTCCAGCTTATTTGAAACTTCGCAATCCCTTTTCTGGGCCTCTTTGGCCTGGTAGACCTGGTATCTTTTGATCTAGCTGGAATCAAGAGTTTCACCCGCTTCTGGGCCCTTTGATGTTCGGCTCCTACTCGGTCATCAACATCATTGTGCTCCTCAACATGCTCATTGCCATGATGTCCAATTCGTATCAAATCATCTCGGAGAGAGCCGATACTGAGTGGAAGTTCGCCCGTTCCCAGCTGTGGATGAGTTACTTCGAGGATGGCGGCACCATTCCACCACCGTTCAACCTCTGTCCCAACGTGAAGATGTGAAGAAGACTCTGGGGCGAAAGCGACCCTCACGAACCAAGAGCTTCATGGTAAGATGAACTGTAAGAAATTTGATGCTATTGGGCTTTCAGTTTTAGAGTGATTGTAAAAAGTAGCGCTTAATATATAATCTTGAAAACTATTCAACATATTAAATAACACTTTTTAATTTACGGGAAGTTTATATAATGTAAAACCAGATAATAGCTTTTTTCAACCAAAAATATCCTTTAAATTAAAATTCCTCAAATGTTAAAGTAATATATTTTTTTAAGAATAATATTTATAAAAATTTTATGAATGTAGACATTTTTTCAAGTTTAACCACCTCACAGTGAGAGGCGGGACAATCAATACAAATCTTTTGCAAAATCATTTTCAATCAAGCCCATGCAGCGCTGGCTGTGCGTCAAAGAGGAGGCTAATACATCCTTTTCCATGACCTTCCACCCCGTTTTGAATTTCTTCTCTCTTCCAACTCCAACCAGCGCAAATCCCTGGAACGGGCACAGACCCTGCATGACAAAGTGATGAAGCTGCTGGTCAGGCGGTACATTACGGCGGAGCAGAGGCGGCGGGACGATTACGGAATTACCGAGGATGATATCATTGAGGTGCGCCAGGACATCAGCTCCTTGCGATTCGAGCTACTGGAGATTTTCACGAACAACAGCTGGGAAGTTCCGGATATTGAGAAGAAGTCACAGGGTAAGGGAAGAATGCCCTTAATATAATAGCTATGATGAATGATAAATGAGTTCGGCCCCATAAATCTTTAACATGATTACAACATCTTTAAATTATAAGGTATTATTAAAAATCTTAAAGTGGGTAGAAACCAAGTAAATGTCTTAAAATTAATGACTATTTAATAAAGTATGACATATTCAGAAAATATTAAAAATAAAATGATTACTTAAAATTGGCAACTGTTTTAGGAGTTGCCCGAACCACCAAGGGCAAGGTGATGGAACGTCGCATTCTCAAGGACTTCCAGATTGGTTTTGTGGAGAATCTGAAGCAGGAAATGAGCGAAAGTGAGAACGGCGCAGATATCTTCTCATCGCTAGCCAAGGTCATTGGCAGAAAGAAGACGCAGAAGGGGTAGGTCTAATTTATTAGATAGGATTTCACAAATATTTTTAAAAATTTGTACTAATTATAGAGACAAGGACTGGAACGCCATTGCGAGAAAGAACACTTTCGCTTCCGATCCCATTGGTTCGAAGCGATCCTCCATGCAACGCCATAGCCAACGAAGTCTGAGGAAAAAGATCATCGAGCAGGCCAATGAGGGTCTGCAGATGAACCAGAACCAGTTGATTGGTAAGAGAAAAAACGTTCTTGATATTAAGATAAAAGTAGTCTTGTATGCTGAGAACATTTTTGATTTCGAGAGAAAAGTACTTATATATGAACCACTCCTTATCCATTGTAGAATTCAATCCCAATCTGGGTGATGTAACTCGGGCAACGAGAGTGGCCTATGTCAAGTTCATGCGAAAGAAGATGGCTGCCGATGAGGTTTCCATAGCCGATGAGGGAGGTGCTACCAATGGCGAGGCGCAGAAGAAGCCGCTGGATGCCGCTGGGGTATTAAAATATATGACTCTTCCTATTTAATCTTATATTTCAACCCACTTACAGTCCAAAAAATCCATAACTAGTGCTGGTGGTGGAGGAGGAGCTTCCATGTTAGCTGCAGCTGCTCTGCGAGCCTCAGTCAAGAATGTGGATGAAAAGTCTGGAGACAGTGACAAGGATAAGAAACCCGGCACTGTTAGCAAGCCCGGTGAGGCGAAGAAGCCAGGTGATGATAAGGATAAGCAGCAGCCTCCCAAGGACTCCAAGCCCCCACCAGGAGGTGCCAAGCCCGGTGACCAAAAGCCAGCTCCAGCAGCAAGTGCTCCAAAGCCCCAAGCAGCTGGAAGCCAAACCAAGCCCACGGACCAGCAGAAGAAGGATGCTCCGGCACCGCCAACCAAACCGGGAGACACCAAACCTTCAGCTCCCAAGCCCGGAGAGCCTGCAAAGCCCGAGGCAGCTGCCAAGAAAGAGGACTCCTCCAAGAGCGAACCCAGCAAGCCGGGAGCCACCAGTGGAGCAGCCAAAAGTGCAGCTCCCTCGGCTCCTTCGGATGCCAAGCCGGATTCCAAGCTAAAAACCGACGCAGCTGGAGCTCCAGAAGGCACCAAGGCCACCAATGGAGACAAGAAGCCGGGTGACTCCAAGTCAGGAGAGGATGCCAAGGACAAGAAGCCAGGTGACGATAAGGATAAGAAACCTGGAGATGATAAGGATAAAAAGCCTTCAGACGACAAAGACAAGAAACCGGCCGACAATAAGGACAAGAAACCGGGTGACGACAAGGACAAGAAGCCAGGAGACGACAAAGATAAGAAACCAGAAGACGACAAGGATAAAAAGCCGGGTGACGACAAGGATAAGAAACCAACTGATGACAAGGACAAGAAGCCAGGAGCAGCCCTCTGAAACCAGCCATCAAAGTGGGTCAAAGCAGTGCGGCAGCTGGCGGAGAACGGGGCAAATCCACGGTCACAGGTCGCATGATCTCCGGCTGGCTTTAAACCATCCCAGTTTCACCCGTTTGGATAGCAGTTATATAGACATAAGATCCCTTGTTTGTCTGAACAATAAACGAACCTCAAATATAAGTGTACCCACACATGTTGCAAGGACCACCTGTTGCTAGCAACATCTGATTTGCATCCCGGCAACATTCATCAGCCGCCCCGTGGGTCTGGTGGCAATTCATTTGCCTGTCATCCTTCTCCCCGTTTTTCTGGCCTATAAAAGAACAGGAACTTCGGCCAGAAGCATCAGACAACCAGTGACCGTTCTAGGAAGAACATCTGACCGAAAAACATATTCTGCCAACCTAGTGAAGTTTTGAAAAGTCTGTTGCAATCATGAAATCAATGTTGGTCAACGCAGTTTTAGTGCTTTTTATAATCGCAGAGTTCAGTGCAGCAGGTGAGTGTGGAATGGAGTGAAAACCTTCCTCGGCAATATTATGAGAATCCATAAAAACACACTACAGATTTAGTTTCGCCTAGTAAAAAGGTTTCCAAGCAATTGATTTTAAAGCAAAGAATATTCAAAGAGCTTTTAATAATTTCCAAATATTTTTTACAGCTTCTTTAAAAGAAAAAGGTAAAACAGTAACCTTTTAGTTTTATTTTCTTCTTCTTCAAATTTTTTTGCATATTATATCAAAATTTTTTAATCCAATTTAAGGCACTTTTAAAAAGGCATGTAATTTGCATTTCTTTCCTTAAAATTTATTCGAACTTTTAAATCCTCAAATGAAATAGGTCGCATATATTAAGTCTAACTGCTGAACTAATTAAAGCGACATATTAAATCTAATACTCCGTTATAAAATTTATATTTCTACAATTTGTAAAGAATCAATGATAACATACATTAAAGAAAATCCAATAATACTTACTAGCTTATTCATCCTAACGAACTAGAAGTAAAATGTTTATAGAGACCATCAAGTCGCTTTGGTTATTATAGCAGTTGAGCACGATTATTCCATGGTATCCTAAGCACATAATTTAAAAACCACTAACACTCCATTCAGAGATGGACCACGACAAGAACCGCCGAGGTGCCAACATGGGTCTCTATGCCTTCCCGCGCGTTGGCCGCGGAGATCCGAGTCTGGCAAACAGTCTGCGCGACGGATTAGAGGCTGGGTTCCTCGACGGCATTTACGGAGATGCCTCCCAGGAGGATTATAATGGTAAGTCGTTGCGGCCGGATAACTAATTGGCCTAAAGGCCCGTGGGGACTATTCGCCATTCCAGAGGCCGATTTCCAGAAGAGGGCCAGTGGTCTGGTGGCCTTCCCACGCGTTGGCCGCGGAGACGCCGAGCTGAGGAAGTGGGCCCATCTGCTGGCCCTGCAACAGGTGCTGGACAAGCGCACGGGACCCAGTGCCTCATCGGGATTGTGGTTCGGTCCCCGCCTCGGAAAGCGCAGTGTGGACGCCAAGTCCTTCGAGGACACCAACAAGGGACAAAAGGAATTCAACTAAGCCCACACACTGTCTTGTGATTGATGAACTGATGATGAAAGGCACCTACTTTTTGACACTCTCAATGTCGTAAACACCTTTTTGTACATCAAAGAGAACGCTTCTAATTGAATATTGTAACGGGTATACAGCAAATATGTTTTTCGGTCAAATATATTACGAATTAAGGGCTGGTGAGAGCTTGTAATTAATGTCTTTGTGTGTTGTTCTTGCCATTTCGAGTATGTAAATATAATAAAAATCATTACATAGTCTGCAAAACGGGTTTTAAAGGAGTTATCCTCTTTTTCGAGTATTAAGAAAAGTTTATTCTAAATGAATTGCAAACATTTTTGGTACAGATATGCCATGACAAAGTTAAGATCATAAATATGGGATCTACTCCTGCTGTTGCTTGAACTTGCGCAACTCGGATTGTATGGCCTCGATAAGGGGCGCAGTTCCCGATGAACTTCCAGCTGGATTAGACGGATCCGATCTGTTCTCCATCCTTTGAGTAGGACCTGCGCTCACGGGCCGATTCAGGGTGGAGTGCGAGCTATACATACTCCCTCCTCCCCAAGCACTATAAGTCGGGGATGGTGGTTGCGTAGAATGCGCCGACTTGGAGGTCTTTTCCGGCTGGGCTGTGGCCGGACGTTCAGCAATGGTTTTAGACCCTCCCGAAGGATGAAAACTGAAAGATCACAAGATTAGATACGATATCATATAATATCACATCATATCATATCATCATTTATCATATCATCGATTTGTTTTCAGAGCCTCACCTGGGCAACCCCGCCGATGAGCCCCTGTGCTCCCTCTTCGTAACCCTCCTGTTGTTCGTGAAATTCTGGGTGGGCAAGGGCATGGGTATATCATCCTGGCTGGAGTACATTTGCAGGGCTCCCTCCAAAAGCCCCTCGTAGTGATTTCGTATTGCCGACGGATTGTGCAGCGGACTGGGATTGTAGTCCGCATAGTTGAGGGCCTCTGGGGAAGATCGATTGGAGAAGTTGAGTACGATATAAGGGGGCTGACTTTACCAGGTTGAAGAGGGTGTAACTACGTTGTTAGTTGGCTACGTTTTGGTTATCGGGATGTTATCAGGATGTCAGGATTTTGGTGCAAGCAATAACAATAACAAAATCAACGACTACAGGTTGTCCTAGTAACGCGACTTGTCCCCAAATCGAACGTCGCCATTGTCATCGTCCTCGTCGTCATCGTTATTATTATTACTACGTTTAGTATTATTCTTTGGGGTTTCTCCTCCCGGCTCACCCTGCGTCTGCTTCTTCTTGTGCCGCTCCCAGACCACGGGACCCACAACTCCCGGATCCGGATTATCGCTGTGCGAGGCGGAACGCACATTCCTAACGGATGACGGCGGTGCCTTGGGACTGGGAAAGCTGGCGATGGTGGCTATGGTGTTGTCCTTGCTGCCCTGGGACTTATGGGATCTCAGAGATCTCGTGGAGTTGTGCGGCGCCACTGCATTCACATTGTCGTAGTAGGTGACGAAGACGGGTCTAGGACTCGGTTAAGGGGTTCCGGGTGAGTACTTTTGGGAAACGCCCTCACAGATGCCATCGATAGGAAGGATCCCACACTGGCCGTGTCGGATTTATCAGAGGGTTGCAGATTCCTTATCATCTCGTTGTTAATGGCCTCGGCGGAAACGCCTCTTCCAGTTTTTTGAGTCAGCAATTTGTTCCGATGATAGTTGTTGTGGGGGTTGAAGGCCTCGTTCCTTTGAAAGTTCTCGTAACTACGACGCATGACCTCCGGGGAATCCTCCGCGGAGGAGTGACCCGCCAGGAGCCCTGAACAGGACTCGTCTCCAGGGAACCCACGCGATTCTCGTTCAGATAACGCCTTCTTGACTTATGCCTCATCTTATCGCCTTCTTCTCGGACACCACCGATGTGTAGACCGTTTCCTCGTGACCCTCAGCTCGATCGTATTGATGACGCCTCTTATGAGCATCAAACAAACGGGCTGCCTTGTCATCTAGATCCTTTGGACATCGGCACTCGGCGGATTGATGGGACAGTACACCGAGGAGTCGGAGTGTTGTCAGTCGATGACGTTATGGAATCCCGACGGGATCGAGATTGGTTCTCCTGCGGCGGAGCTGGAAAACTGATGCGTGGCTCTCGTTCGTAGGAGAAGTTCCGCACACCCGTGTCCCTGGAATGCGAATGTCCTGGACTCGGTTCCCCTTCGGTCCTCTCACTGGTCGTGGGACGCATCGATTGACCCTCGGAGAGCAATTCGTTGCGGGAGGAGTTTCTGCAAAGAAATATAATATCCTTCAATTTCAGGAAATTTACTTTATTTTTGTAGTATAACTTACCTGTTGACTGCACTAAGTTCTCTTTGCCGGGAACGTGTTCTTCCAAGGAGTAGAACTGCAACAAGGAGTAACATCAACAGAAGAATGGCCAAGGAGCTGATTACCACCAAAGCCACGTTGTTTTTCACCGAGTTGAAGAACCCAGCCTGTCCACTTCGAGGAACAGGTGCAAAGCAGTGGCCGTGGGCTCCGTATATAGGCTATATAAATAACTTAAGTATGTTAATCGATTTTTAAGGGAAAAATTTCAACTCACGTTCGGATTTCATATAGACAGCCTGTCCAAAAGTCTTTACCGCCTCCGATTCGCTGACCAGTTCCATATCCTTAGCTGCTGTGGTGGCCAAAACAGGTCGACCATTCACCAAAACCGTGTAGATCAACTCTGTTTGGTTGGCTATGGGACGATCATTGCTGCTAAAAATATTTAAAGCAGGAAATAAGATAATAAATCAGATTAAAAAATAAATAAAGTGGTATTCTAAAAGAAAATTAAAAGTTGTTCTAATCATGTTCCTAGTCTTATGAGATCAGGGAAATAAAGGTATTAATTTAAAAAACCAAATAAGTTGATACGTTATATTCCTATCCATATCCACATCCCCATCATGAAATTGATATTTTTACGAGTGCACTTTATGGGTTAATCAAACTCCTAATATAATAACAAGTTCGGCAGCCAGGCACTTACAATTTGAGGTTGACGTAGTTGTGCTCCTCCATGGTACCGAACCCATTGGTGTTGGTGCTCCACTTTTGCACATCCGCCTCGCTAATTTGCGTTAGGTTGTGTATGACAACTCTGACGTGCTCGTCCCTATAGAGTGGTTGGGTTTGGGGCTGGGATCGGGGTGGTTCCATCCCCCCTTCCATCGCCTGTTGTTGTTGTTGCTGCACCGGCGGTTGCTTAGTCAACAAGGCTTCGTGCATTTCCCGCAACTTTTCCGATTTTCCATTCTGCTGTATGAGCTCCCAGGGGATCAGAGTAACGTATGCCCCATAATCTATCGATTCTGTACTGGTCGAGGGGGTGACCCCCATCGGGGTGGCTCCTCGGACTGCTCCTGCTCCTCCTCCGAGTTGCTGGCCCATTCGGTGTCTTCGCCCAGTCTTCTCACAGTCTTGATGTAGTGCTCTCATCCTCCTGCATGTCCAGATTTCCACATCATCTGCTGGTGATCCCGTAGTGTTTCTGGTTCGTTGGCGGTGTTAACGATTTCCGACGTTCTCTAGGAGCTGCCGGTAGGTTAACCCCTTCGATTTGCTGAGCTCCATTTATTCCAAGATGACGGGTTTGCTGCCTGTTGTTTAAAATTATAAGAATAAATTTTTTAATCGTTGTATATTATCTATTATCTAAGTTCCTCACATTAAAACGTTAATGGTTAACATTTACCTGGTAAAAGCCAGACGATATAACGTGCCAGCTTCTCCTCTAAGGTGGGGTTATCCTTGGCGGTATAGAAACCCGACATGACCGTCAGCAGCCAATATCTTCGATCCGTGGCGGAATAATTCAGGGGAGGCATTCCTGGACCACCCATATCCCAAGTGCCGCCACCATCATCCGGTTTACAATCCAGGCAAATGGGTATGTCAATTTCCTATAAACCAATCTTTAATATCTTCTCTCAGGTTAGTCCCCAACTTTAACTCACATTTTTCCATCCACATAGATGTGGCCACCACTGTTTCCGTCTTGAAAACCGTTTCCTTGCCCTTGGTAATGCCCGTGTGCACCTTTTTCAGGAAATCCGGAGGGCCATCGCCCGAACCAGTCCAAAAAAAGTCCTCCAAATGTATTTCGTCCTTAACTTCGGGTAGTCATCATCGGAGTTGTCTGGAAATGTCATGGTTTTATTATAACTATAGCAGTTTCTTGAACTTTCACCCCGTTTCCATAGAAAGTAAACAATGCCTTATGCCCAAAAATAAATGTTGCCTGTACACAAAGTTTTTATGAGATTTTTGATTAAATACTATCTTTAATATATATAACTCTATGCCAAAGTTGTTGAATCATCGTGCCTCAATCATTTATCATTGTTATTTACCAATTTATTGGTTTTTGTTTGTTTACCCCTTATTTTGGTTACAGGTTTTCGAGTTTGTTTGATCAATTGCGCTAATGGCAACATATTTCTACAATGAATGCAGTTGAAGCGCAGCAATTATGCTCATGGTGAGTCCTTCTGAATGCACTCTATGCGGTTAATACCCCCTCTCCCTATAGACAACAATAGCATTACCTTATCGATTAGCACTTTCGTTTCCGAAAACCCAAAGACAGGAACTTGACAATTTGCTTGCGTGTTGGCCCCCGCAATTAACTATACACCTGCCTTGATTTGGCAGGTCGAATCACCTGGGTCAGTTCTCTTTTTACCTTTCGGTTTTTGCAATTAACTCATATTGATTGTCCCAAATTTTTGCTGCGGTCAATGATGAATTTTTGATGTTTTTTGTGTTAATGCTTTCGACCAGAAATGCGTAAAGCGTTAAAGGTCAAAATACTTGCTCCATACAAATGGGTACTGGGTACTGGGGGACCCTAGAACCTCTAGATAATATAGAACAAAACAATTTCCCTCGCTGGATGCTCAACTTACCGTGACTTAATTGTATAAGCGGCTGACCAAGCTGCGACTTTTGCGTAGCTTGGCAACTTTGTTGGATGACCAAAAATAAAGATATAAGCAGAATCGTTTGATTTGCTTTCATTTTCACTGGATTATTCATGAGCGTTATGGTCACTTTCGGGTGTTTTCACTTCGTACCGCATTTCCCTTTGCCACGAGCTTAAGAATCGGTTGCGGTGGGGGAAAATTCTACTGATACAAGGCGATGAAAAGCCGAATCGGCACCGTCGAACGTCAACCGGGAACTAAACGCTCCATTGTAATCCAAACATTCTCGGGGGCTATATCTGAATATATGGTGGTGCGGATGGCTGACATTGTTATAACCCGCTCTCTGTTTGGGCCGCTTTATGCCTGGTCAGTTACCTGGGTTACCTCAGTTGGCGATTTCAGAGGCAACAGGCATGTATCGGAAAAGCGCGCCAACACAAAAACCTCCGCTTTCCGTAAACAAAGAAGAGCTTTCCACCAAGTGGAACTTTTTCTGATAACTTTTCATGCTTTTTCGACAATATTGGTAAAAAAGGTACTATGTAAAAACTTTTAGTCATGGTTCCAGTCTTGGTTTATAAAAGCTATTCTAAAAAATACCAAAGCTGCCTAATATGGCAACCATTCTGTAAATAATACAACGGCCTATTTTGAGAATAATATGACATAATAATATGACATCTATAATTAACTTAGTAAATTTGTAAAAAGTTTCAAGAGTTTTCTTAAGTTTCTTGAGTATAAATTGTAACTATAATAAAGTTATCTATTTGTATTCATCATTTAAAGTCTTGTATCAATGGTCTATCTATAAGTAAACCATAAATGAATACTGTGAGGAATCATAAAACGGCCTTCATATCATTACATGAACAACAGCTTTTTGTAAGCATTAGCGTTATCAAAGTGGTTAAAGCTTGATTAATTAATAATAATTAGCAAGTAGTTTAAACAAGTTTTAATCTGTTTAGCCACAAAGCCTTACAAATAAATTGAATACTGGCATAAATTTTTACACCTTTAAATTTTTGTTCTTTGTTGTTTTATTCTTTTTTCTAATAATACGTATTGGTAATGGCTGTCCATATTGGACTTGAAAAAAGGGCCTTCAAATTACTACTCAAATAATTCGTTTACACTCGTGCACCCCACTACAGATATGACAAATTAATTATAATTATTAAGTAATTTAAAAAGATTTCCTCAAGTAATAAAACCGATTGCTCAACGACTTCTGTGAAAATCGCTGAGCGGCCTTCGTCTTATTACTTGAATTATTGTCTTTTACTAGTACCCGACTAGTATACAATTGATTAATTAATAGTAATCATGGGGATGTACTGAGTAACTTCCCACCTACTTTTTTTGGCAAACTTGTTTCTCTGATTGATGTAGCCGCAAAATAAACCAAATACTCATACAATGGACAAGGTTTTCCATGTAGGCTTTAAAAAAACCCCCGAAAAAATAATAATTATTACGAAATACCATTTATCATCATTGGAAACAGTTTTTTGGTCTAAATGCTTCCAGGAACCAGTCTATTTTGGGTTCTCATTGTTGTTATCTGGATTCACTAAGTTTAGATTTTAATATACCTATGCTATGAATTACGACTGTCAATTTTGAGCTGTAGGCGCTTATTACCTTGTGAGTCTCACCTGAATAGTCTTTGTATTAAAATACATGTGTTGAAGTTTGGCGAAAAACCAACCGAATGTTTTGTCAATGCCTCCAAGATTCTTAAAACTTGTTTCGGGTGTCAGGTCCATCATGACAGTAGAATGCGCTAATTTGTCGGGCGTAAAGTCTTTTTAAAGGTCAAGACTATTACGCAACAGCAAACTCGTCTATCCAGAGCTATGATATTGAAACAAGTAAACTTGATCTTGGCCAGAAGGCGAATGGATATTCTTAAGAGATGCTAAACCAAACAACCAGTTTCAGCAGAAGAAAATATATTTTTAAAGCTTTGTTTACAATTCTAATCTATCAAAGGCTTAACCAGCAGCGGACTTCAGGGCTCCAGGGCTGAGTTTGCGGTTCTTAATTTGGTAACGGGCCTTGTAACCATCCTTATCGGCGGTGTACATGTAACAGTATCGGTATCAGTCTTCTCATCATAGTGGAGTAGGTACCCATGACCACCAGCTGTTCATTTTCAGTTCCTGGGTTCATGATGACACCAATTTCCTCGCGTTTGCTTCCATTGGGGTCATCAATGCTGCGATTTATTTATATATTAAGTCTCTAATCTTCAAGGAATGAAGAGCATACGTACTTGAAGCGGTAACCCTCCTTGGTGGAGCTGAGTTGTAGTATTCCGTAATAACGGTGGGTACGAAAAGGGAGTCCAAAAGTCCAGCCGAGCAGTTGGCTGCCATAATGGCCACCAGGGCAGTGAAAAGTAGCTATTAGGAAATAATAAAAAAATATGGTTATCATAAAAATCTTAAACGTCTTAATCAAACTCCTAACCTGTAATCAAAGTTTACTATGTAGTTTGAAAAATGTATTAATTACATATTACCCCACTTGATCGGTTTCAATTTAAACTTTCAGAACCTTTTCTCTTTCACACTTTGGAGTCTATATCAAAAGATTTCTAAAATTTTATGTTTCATGATTTTATGGTTCTATTAAAAAACGCCGTTTCTTGTTACGATTATAAAAAATACATTTTTAAAGAAATATATAATTTTTTTTAAACAAAAACTTTTAAACTTGTTTTTATGCACCTTTATGTATTAGATCATCTTCTGGTCTTAGTTAGGAATGTGTTTCTAATAAAAAAGCCACAAATTTCTAATTTTTGCAATTTACTTGCGAAGTATAACCGCTTTGTGTCAATTGGACAATATTTCAAACAGCCCGGGCTATTAGCACAGCTGCATCAATATCAATATCTTGTGAGCATTGATAGACTCTATTTGGATTGTTCACACACTTCACATGCCAATGTAATTGTAATTGCCGCCCCTTTGGTTTTCTGAAGTCGTAGGTCTCGGTCGAGGGTTCCGGATGGGGAATGGAATCCGATTCGGACTCGGATTCCGATCGGGTTCCGCCCTGAAACTGCTTACCAATTTCGCGGAGGCCATGTTGATGCGCGCTGAAGTTACGGAGCTATACTAAAGCATCCGAAGCGCGCCCCCTAATATATAAAAGTTAAGATCTGCATAGATCTTTCAAGCTCGCGACGTCAGGCACACACACAGTGGATAAGTCATATTTTTTTACTTAGTGGCTGCCACTATTGAGTAAAACCGGTCGCTCCTCATTCTCTAACTTAAATGCTGAAACAAAACGCCAACGCCTTACAGCCATTATGTTTTATTTTTTGGAAGACTGATTCGGGTTCGGAAACTTTTTCGGCGAAAGTATCGAATTCAGAACTGACACATCTGCCCGTGCGATTGTGCGAAAAACAGGTGCACGACTATTCCTCGATATCTTGTCAAAATGTGGTTATCCTTGGTCTTAAAGCTAGCGAAACTAGTGATTTATAAAATTATATTTGCATATTAAGTTGCCAAATTAGACAAAAATTATTTGGAATGCTCAGAAACTAGTTTATTTTGGTTTATAGTCTGTCAGTGATTTCACTTTCTATAGGTGAAGCCCAAACTCTGCTGAGCATTCTAAACAATTGCTTTTTTTCTTTGAACGAATCAGGTTTTTCTTCGGAAAAGGTTTTCACGGTTTTTTACATGATTGTTTGATGGGATGAGTAATTAGTTGTAATTAACCATTAATAATGTTCGTGTGCTGACTCATTCTAAACCCATAAATCCTTTCTAGATTCGGCTATAAGTCCATTGGTGTTAAATTTATATGTTCCTGGATGGCAATTAAATGAAACTTAAATTCAGACATGAGCTTTGAATCCATTAATCTAAACGTCAACTCTGAGTTCAATGCTCTAGGCAGCGACACTTGCAAAGTTCATTAAATGCTAAATAATTCAACCAGAAAATATTTTCTTAAATAAGTATCTCTGAAGTAGAATATTTTAAGTCATAATTTGTACTTTTATGTTAAGTCTTTCTGTCAAGCTTCAAATTAGGAGACTGGGAAATTAATCATCAATAACTAATTAAAACTTCTAGTTTTCCCCATTTTCAAATATCAAGTGTATACCATACAAAGATCGTTTCAAGCATGATTGCTAGGCTAAACGATCTCTGCCCAAAAGTATACTTCACAGCATAGATTTGAAAGCGTTTTACAACGTCTTAAAGTACAATTCAACCAAATAACTTATTTATTTAACTAGTTAGTATTTTGTTAGCCAGTGCAGCTTTTGAGGCACATAATATTCAGTTTTCGGTTTTTGTTTTGGTAGCGGGCTCTATTACCATTCTTGTCGGCAACATACATGGTAACAGAATCGGTGTTGGTCTTCTCATCATATGTGGAGTATGATCCCATCACCACTGTTTCTTGGCGGTCCGTTCCAGGATTCAGGAATGTAACCATTTCCTCGCGTTTGCTGCCATTGGGCTCTTCCAATCTATATTTAACGTATTATAATTTATTGTAGATCCTTGACCGATACTTAGATAACTTACTTAAAGTGGTATCCATCCTTGGTGGGAGTCAATGAGTAGAACTCCGTTTTCACATATGAAACAAAATTGTCGAAGGACTGCAGCGCCGGACTAGAAGGTCCTAGTAATCCAAAGTTCCCAAAACCGCCCTGTGCCGATCCACTGGTGGCCATAATGCTCAGCAGGGCAGTAAAAGAAGCTGAAATAATAGGAATCGGAGGATCATACCAAGTTGTTATTATAATATATTTATAACAAGTTCCGTTCAAATAATCTTCTTACCAATTTCGTTGAGGCCATCTTGATGTGCGCTGGTTTTGCAAGCTATACTGAATCATGAGAAGCATATCCCACCTTATTTTATACATCTGAGAAAGTGCATAAACTTTAAGAGTGCTATTAATGAAAAAACAGGTCGAGGCAATCGATAATTTATAATCTGGAGATGGGCAGCACGTGTAGCAAAAATTGTTTGCTTATTTTTATTTTTTGATCTATGCATATCATTGCATAGATCCAAAAACAAATCTGACACATTTGTGCACAAATCTCAATGGTTTTTAAATGCTATATAAATATTGCTCATCCACTGAAACAACAACTTTATATTAATCAGAATAAGCTTTTTATATGAAATTTATGTACAATGTCAAATATTATGGTTGGTCACATACTTATGAAAAATTTATAGATACTACTCTCACCAGCCTATACATTTACCGTTAACCTATTATTTCTTTCTTTCACCGAATTGATAGTTTAAGACAATACTAAAAAGTGATTTTATTTAGTTATTGAACTATTATATTCTCACCCGTGGCCTTACTTATAATCATTTCATTTGAATGACCATAAAAAAGTACTTTAAATTTATTTAAGAACTTGTTCAAATTGTTAAATAGTGATATTAACTTCGATAAGTTGCCATTTCAGTTTAACAGCTGCATTTACACTGTCTTTCAGTTGAATGGATTTATTTAGATATTGTTTTCAATGTTTTGAAAACACGTAAAAGTTTAACCAGCTACATGACAAAAAGCCGATTTTTACGATACTTGACCTACTCTACACTCATTCTACTTCGGTAGAGGGCGCTAGTGATAATGTAGATAATTGTGAAATTACTTATTTGCCATGAAAAACAAATTATAACATTCAAATTGAAATTAATAAAATAGTGTCATATTACAATGTTTTATTTATTTGACTACATATTTTTTGACTTTGGACTTAGGATCAAATTGCCCAAATTGTGGGTTATTAAAAATTAAATGACGCTTTCCAAAGTCTAATTAAATAGTGCAAAATTATATTATGAGTTATTAATGCGCTGGTTGACAAAAAGTAGTTGCTTGAATATCTCCTGGACAGTTGGTCATCCATTTAAGAGGCATCAACATGGCAAAATCCCATGCCATCCTGCTTGGTCTTCTGGCTATCATGGACAGTTTAAGTGGTGTAATTGGATTGGATCGAGGACTAACATTCTCGGCGGCACAAAGCCAGGGTTGCCAATGCTCCGCGACGATGTCATGCAGTTGTTGCCAGAGTGTTTCGGTCAGTCTCATGAACGAAACCAGTACTCGTATGTAGCTCAGATATAATTATAAAACCCTTACCTTAATAATTCACCCATTTAAGTTTGCCTCACCTGGGAATTGGTATACCCAGTGGATCCATAGATTTGGGAGCTACCTTGGATGGAACTTCGGTGGGCTCGTTCTCCATTAACCCCTTGACACCGCCTACATATTGTCTTCCTGTGATCTCACTGGCATCTTTGGACGTGTGCCTGAAATAAAAGTCCAGGTGAAGGGTGCTGCGGTCAAGGCCTGTCCCACGTTTTATACCAACTATAGTAGCAATCAGGTCGTAGGATACGATTTTCCCTGCATTCAAGTAGGAATGAATGGTGTTAGTCTGGTCTAAATACCATGTACCCCATACCAAAAATGTACACAAAGCTTCTTTCAATTTTTTATTCTTTATGCATTTCGTTAGGTTTATAAAATGTTCAGCAGCTAGCCAGGGAAAATGCTATATATACAAGTGTTACTGGTCAAATGCATGGTGTAACATAATAACCACAGGATCTAGATAGATCCGGGACATATATTTTTTGACAGCTAAGCTTAACGAGTAAGGCTATTAAACAAAACAAAAAGTTATCGGTGAAACCCATCAAGCCCAAACCACAAAGAGAAAAATGTACAATAAACTTACAACTGAAGATCACAAAGGACTCCTAACCATAGAGGTTGGTCTTACGAATTCTACCAATTACATATATATCATATGTTGGGTCTTCCTATATTTGAGGTAAGCAGCAGATAATTTAGGCTTCACATCAGGATTTGTTTTGGGGGCATTTCGAGAACTGCTACTACATAGTTCACCCAAAATTTAGATCAGTTCTTCGCTCGTAAATCGCTCGTACACCTTATTTATCGGTTATATCAACTAAAACTATGCTTGGAGCAGGCCACTTTGATTGCCCAAACAGCTCGGCTGGTCCTGTATTCCGAATGGGGATCGGGATCGGATTTGGGATCCATCTCCTCCAACGGATGAGGACGTGGATGAGGCGGCGGGCACATCGCTCACGATCGCCTTGCACATGACCATCCTGACTCCGGCGAGGAAGTCCGAGAGGTAACATCATGTGGGCCGTGAAGGTGCCGGTGGTTTTCGCTCCAAGGAGGAGGACTGCAGCTGCAGAACGGCAGGAGGAGGCGGTGGGGGGGCACTCCGCATCCGGGGCACCGGCTTCTGATCCTTGTTAGCCAGCGAGTCCCTTAGCACCTTTGGCTGCGTCGTTATGACCTTTGGTATGGTTCCCAGATGCTTCGCCCGTCCATCAGCACCGCCCTCGAATCTCACAGATTCCACGGACGAGGAAATCCGGCTGTTGCCCTCCTCGTCCAGCTCGTTGCCATTCTCCACCTCGTCGTCCTCGTCCTCGTTCTCCTGGTCCTCGATCAGGGCGCGGAACTCTTGAATCGATTCGTTAAGCACCCACAGTTGTGACAACAACGAGAGATCTAGTTGACGCAGTCCGTTCTGGAATAAATAAAGTAGGACTTATTAGACGGGGTGTAACCAAAATTGTTGTTTCTATGTTATAAATAAATAAATAAGGTTTATATACTAAAAAGGTTTCGTGATATTTATAACAAATTAAATTCAGGATTTTCTGCATTAAACTATGTTTAAATATACATTCAAACTTTCCAAGCATCTTAGTTATAGTCGATATGGGCGTATCTCCCCTTGATTTATCATTTGAAAATAGTCACTTTACATCTTATAGATTCAGATTGCCTTATCCGAAATACATATCGTCTGGCTGGCCATGAATAATCCCAAATACTCGTGTCCTCTTAAAGCCTTGGCCTGTATTTTTGTGCCAACATGACGCTTGTGGTCAAAATGAAAGTTCCCCTGTCGCTGTCGAGTAGGAAGGAAAAATCTCATTTGTCAATTAATATCGCGGCATAATATCGCGCGAAAAGAAAAGCAGAAAAACTTTCTGCAACCGCCGCAGCATCTCGTGGTATTAACAAAATCCGCTGAAGCCTGCGTTTTCGCTTCAGCCAACTCCCACTGGCTGCTAATGCATTCAGATTGAATGCAAATTAAAGTTAAAAAAATTAAAAAGTGGGAATTGCCTGCGAAAATAAAAGAAGTTGAAATTCCATTCGAAAACGATGAATGTTTTAATAAATTAAAACCTAAATGGTATTTAAATATTTATATATTTTCTAACCAATAAATCAACCGAGCCAGCTTTCCCTTTGCGGTTCCACAAAAACCACAATATTCCATTTTCTTCACTTCCGTCTAGAATACGGTTAACAATTAGTCATTTGAGGTTTCTTCTTCAATGTTCAATACCTTCGCATCTACTTTTTTCCGCTTTTCCTCAACTTTCCCAACAATGAGGAAGTATCTACGTGTTCTCCAGTAAAAAGTGCCTGTGTGCAGATGTTTTTTTATTTTCCCCCATTTTCTATGTGCCAAGTTAAGTGTGTGTGCCAGTTTTTAGCAGATTAATGCCGGTTGTACAAAACCTTTTTCGCCACATTTGGCGGGGGCGTCGCCTTGGGTCGAATGTGAATTAGTTGCAAATTAACATACTTAATTAACATACTTGCAGGGTTATCCGTGGGAAGTTGATCTAAATAGAATTGTGCTAATACCATTAGTTGGCTTGACCAGAAAGTGCAGATCAGGCTATAGGAATATGTAGGTCAACCGTGTTATAAGTTAACCACTTTGTTGGGAATAGTAATAGTATTTTATCCACCAGAATAGAAGGAATACAATGATTGCCATTAAGGGTTGATATAAACATCTCATAAGATTTATTTCTTTGTATATCTATATATTTCTATATTTCCCGGAAGACTACATTGCTTCCACTGCTTTCATAAAATCAAATCAATATTGGTTGACAATTTAATTAGCCCTAAGCTCTTTGCGCTAAAATTGCTTAGGGCTGTTCGAAGTGCTTATATTGAGTGGCCCGTGGTAATAGGAGGCTTTGACACAAGCAGAAGCCCTAGAAGTATTTCTTAAGTGCAACAGCGCCAAATGGCAATGAACGCTGCAAATGCCAGACAAGGCTGCCACTGCCCTCTCTGTTTGCATAAATATATATAGTCACATATAGGTATACCACCCATATATATACGGGATCTGCCCAAGATCCAAGATAAATAGTGGCGCGTTCTATCTTTAGCCGGGAAGCCATTCAGTTTACATCAGTGGTCGCACACATATCATCAAGTTTGCCTTGCATTAGTGTGAGTGTAAAAACGAGTTGCGCGGCGTGCTGTGCGGACGTTCTCTGCTTTGCACTGAGATCCTCTGCCACAGCACAAAAGCGGCCGAGTTGAAAAAATGACCGAAGACCATGCGAATCACGACATGTACGTTATCGTGAGCGAGCAGAGGATGGCAGAACACTTCCTATGCTACAGATAGCCGCTGCCGAACACTGGTTACATCAAAGATTTCTGCACTGATGCGTGAACTCTGCAGCTGAACGGCGGCACCTTTGCTGAAAAATGCGGAAGATCAGGAAACGCAGAGAGTCGGGAATTTCAGCAATTATCTGTAGGGGAAAAAGAGAATCCGAATCCCAGATGTCTTGCTGCCATTTACCACAATCAATTTTGGTTTATCCCAGATATATGCATTTAAAATTAGCATAGGGAAATGAAACGTGCATTTTTATAACCCCATTCTAGTCGTGGCATTTATCGATCATTTGCCTTTTTATGGAAGTAGCTCGTGTTTATTTTATCACATTATATAGCTATTTCAACTATCTTGAATGAACTTATATGGGACAAAGAGCTTTAGCTATTTTTACCTTTTCTATAATATGTTTAGAACCATAAAATGTATTATTTAACAAATAGTAAGGGTGGGACCCTTATTAGAAAATCAATTCAATATTTATCAAATAAATACATTTAATAAATAATTAATCTGGTACTGCACTTTTTTCAACTCGCTTAATTGCACACAAGTGTTTAAGTTAAAGCAATCTCTTTCTAAAATACCATTTATCAAACGAATTAGCCAAAAGCCAGCCCACTGGGGTTTTCTACACCCTTTTAAATCTCCCACAAATTTAATTAACTCGAGAGGTAGGCAAATGAAGCAATAGATGGATTGCAGAACGAACATATATCTTTATAAAGCCCTCGCAGAAGAGGTTGGCGTGTCATGTTCGCGGTCTGATAAACAGAGCTCGGTTCGCATGTGCCAAATAAAGTGGAACAAGTGAGAAGAGTACGATTAGCCGCAAATGGGGGTCTTTCTTGGCCAAGACTCGGGCCCGAGACTTCGGCTTCAGGCCTAATGGTAGCCGACGATCTTAAAGCTGGAGAAAGAATGCCCGAGTCAAGGCCATTTTATGTAAGCCGTAAAAATCCATTTCATGCATTGATGCATTTCTTCTCACAAACTGTCCGCTGGCTCTTTAGTTACTTAGCTTTTTCAGCCTTTTTTGCTTTTTGTTCATAAATTTAATTTGCTGCCATAACGGAGGTATCTGGCAAAGCAACATAAATTAGCTGAAGCGGACCCGCTTTGTTGCTTTGTTGCCAGCTTGCCTGCTTGCCAGCTTGCCTGCTTGCTCACTTGCCCACTTGCCCGCTTGCCAAGTTGCCAGATTGCCTGGCTTAATGGCTGCGCATGCGCTGATTAGTCGTACTCCTGTTTTCTCCCATTGTGGCTCGGATCGGTTCGGATCGACTCTACCTGGTGCTTTTTATTTCTCCCCGATGCGTTGTATTGCATTAACCAGGTTTATTACTTCATTTTCATCGTTGTACACATTAGAGATGGTGCCGCTGATGGCGATGGGAATGGCGGCTTAACAATTGCGCGTAATTTGGCTTGACAATCATCTATTAATATGGAGGGTATGAGGTAGGGTTTCAGGCTTTATGATTTCTGCGCTCTCAGAGCGGGTAAAATAACTATGCCAAGGAATAATTGCATTTGGACTGGAGAGCATTGAAATATATAAGTTTATATCTCTAAAGATCTGCATTTTAGATGGATCATATAACATTTAGATTCTAAGAACTCCCTTAACTAATAATGCTTGCTTTATTAAAATTTGTAGGCTATATAATAATTATTAAAACCAACTAGGATTCCTTTGTATATCATTTTGTTGGTTTGGTTTTCCTTGAAAACTTAGATTGGATAATGCATTATGTGCGGCACGTCAAAATCTTATTGTGCCCTGAACAGAAAGCTGATCTAATAACCTAATAATAA